TCATGGGAGGGGCCATTCCAGTTCCCATAAGTCTTTGCTGCTGCTGCAGCTGCTGCTGCTGCTGCTGCTGTTGTTGCTGCATCATGTGCGGGGCACGGGGTACCATCCCTGGCTGAGCCATCATTCCCTGTGGTGGTGGACGATGGTGGTGTGGCAGCATTATCTGGCCCGGAGTCTGAGGGTGCGGCTGTTGTTGACTTGAGATGCCAGGAAAATGAGGCGCCATGCCTCCCTGGTGGAGGGAGCTGAGATGCTGCTGCTGCTGCTGTTGTAGTTGTAGTTGTTGTTGTTGTTGTTGTTGTTGTTGTTGCTGCTGCTGCTGCTGCTGCTGCTGCTGTTGTTGTTGCTTCTGTAGTTCTTTCTTCTCATGCTCCAGCAGATCCTGTATAAGAAGGGGCAGCTCACCATCTAAAGAGCTCTCTACCTTTGCCAAATCTACAGCAGGGGAGTGCTGTCCACCTACATCAGGCAGACCCAGTGGATCATCATTCATATTTGAATGTGAAGCAGCTGAAGGAAAAGGCAATCCACCAGCTTGTCCTGGGAGGGGGTACTGAAGTCCCCCTAACCGAACAGAACTGAGTGAAGCTGACTGGTTATCTGGTTGTGCAGACTTGGAAGATGGCGTGTTCCCACCAAGAAGCATTGACACAGCCTCTCCAAATTCATCTTTTACCACAGTGTGTCCTGGATGCGTCTGAGTCATACCTCTGTCCTCTATTTTGACCTTGGAGATATCACATATGTCTGCAGAGGGTGGCAGTTGAGTAGCAGACCCTCTTGCAGTGCCAGCAACTGTTGTGAGACACTTCTGCCCTGGCTCCAACTTGGCTTTTACTTCCACTTTAACATGTGCAGATCCAGAGGAAGATGCAGGTGCTTCACTCTCTGCTTCCACTAACCGGAGCTGGTCTGAGAAGACATCTTTCGGGTCTCCTTGGTCCAGTTCAGGGTCAGCGTAAGCCAGCAGGTCAAACTCGTCACTGTTAAGCAGGTCGTCTAAATGTGGATCATTGGTCTCCAGGTTGTCCAAGTTGCCCAAGTCATCATCTCCCTTGTCAGGGTCCAAGTCCAGAGCCATATCATCCTCATCATCCACACCTCCATCCCCTGGGGCATCCCCAAGGCCTTCAAGGTCAGGTTCTGGCAGCTCCTCATTACTCACTGCTGTTGCAGGCTGGGAGTGTGTGACCAGGCTTGGTTGTTGGAGATGATGCTGCTCAGTGCTAGGAATGCTTGTATTGGAAGTAGCTGCCTGGTGTTGCAGGTGGGGATGCTGTGTTATTGGGCCTGTTGACTGAGGCATTAAAGCTGGAAGTCCACCCTGCTGTAACCTAAGATGCGAGTTGCTGCCCCCGTCAGTTTGAATGCCACCAGCTTGACCCATTGGATGTTGCTGAACAAAAGATGCTGCCATCTCTTGCTGAGGGACAAAGTGCCGTTGTCTCGGCTGGGGTACACGGGGCATAAACTGAGGTCGTAGGGGTAGTCTTTGTGAGTTGTGTCTCAATTCAATGAACTGTGGTGGAGGCCCTTGACCCATTGACTGCATGGTCTCTCCTCCATGTCCTGGCATCATGGCATGAGGGTTACCCATGCCTTCCATACCCTGCATGTTGACAGCAGGGTTGAGATTGTGTCTTATGCCCATGGCCTCCATGCCGGGCTGGGGGAACCTCCTTGGGCCTTGAGCCTGGCCCTGCCACTGAGGAGGGAACGGTTGACGAACAAACATGCCCTGTGGTCTGGGGGGCCCTGGTTGCCTAAATGACAGAAACACACAGAAGAGAAAATATGTTAACGTTTTAACATTTCTTGAATTTTCTTTTTTGCAAAGTGAAAACATTGTGATTCGGCATATTGTAAATCTACATGGGTGACGTGGTTACCTTAGTGCATTAGGGTCCATGATGGCAGGGGTTCCTGTGGGTGGAGGGCGAATGACCCCCATGGCTCCAGTCATAGGCATCTTTGTTGTCATAGAAGCCTGAGCAGTAGCAGCGGCAACACGATCCTAAAGGAAGTAATGATGGCAAAAAGAGGCAGATGTAACATTCCTTTTGTTCGTTTATAGAACACTTTTATCCAAACCTCATTAGAATGTGCTGCCCACTCTCACACATAAATGGATGCGAGCTACAATGCAAGGCACTCATCTGACCATCTTTCACTAACATCAGAGAGGTCAAAGTACATCCTGGGCTATAAAGTGGTGCAATTCAAATGAGTGACATTCAAAGGTATCTGAAGTCTACAGCATATTCGTAAGGTGCATACCTGTGGATAAGGTGGCGGTGCTCTGTGGGCCTTGTCTTGTTGAAAGGCTCCCATCTCTCCTCCAGGCCAGCCAGGGGATCCACTGCCAGCAGCAGCAGCCGCTGCAGCAGCCTCCTTCTCTTGTCTGATGGTGTTTCTCTGCAGTTTTTGTCTGATTAAGAATTCCCGTAGTCTGAGTCGCTGAAAAAAAAAAAAAAAACATAATAAGAATTGATTAGAAACACACCTGAAAAGTGCAGAGCATGATTGTTAATGGCTAATATGTTCATACCTGTCGGTGCTTCTCTAGCTCAGAGGGGCTGAGGCCAACTAAGGCAGGGTCCTGAACTGCTGAAATGTCAGGCATTTCTGGAGTGCTTGGCAGAGCAGGCTGCTGATGTGCATCTGGAGGGCGGACAGCCATCAGATCTTGAGATCCGGAGAGATTTGGCCCCCTGGAGCCAAAGCCGTCTGTCTGTAGAGTTTGTGGCTGTTGTTGCTGAAGCTGACCCTGTAACATCTGACTCTGCTGTTGGGTCATTTGGAAGCCTCCCGTGCTGGGGCTGCGACTGAAAGTAAGAGGTGCTGACGGTTTACCAGAGAGAGGGTCCCCTATGGAACTGTTGGTGGGATGTGGTTGAGGTGGCTGGTGAGGATTGGGTGAGCCTTTGTAACTTGCTGTTCCCTCTGGGGCAACAGAAGGGGGGCGAGGGGGTTTGTGGAGAGTAGCAAAAGGGTCTCTAGATTGTGGCCTTGAAGGTGGCTGAGAACAAGGGTCCGGGGATTGGAAACGAGGCGTAGCAGGGGAATGGACAGAGTAAGCATCATTGGAGAGGCCCCCGGGAGTGTGGGGAGACTGAGAGCTGCCCTGTGAATTTGGGCTGGAGGGCACTCGAGGGCACATTTCCTGTTGAGCAACAGGATGTCTCTGGGGCCCGAGAGGACAATTGTCGGCTGACTGCGGCCTGGGAGTCAGTGGTGACTGGGCGTGGGGGTCAGAGAAAGAGTGAGAAGGAGACTGCCTGTAGCCTTCAGAGGGGTGTCCTGGAGATGCTCCAGGATGCACCTCCCCTTGGTGCATTCGTGGGGTCATAGGTGCCTTGAACAAACCATCCCCCGAGTCCAGCATCCCAGCAGGAGAGCCAGTGGATAGATCAGGCCTCCCAGCAGAGGAGCGTGGAGAGGGGGCGCTCATATCAGCCCTGTACTGCCCTGCAGGGGAGGAAGCCACTGCAGAGGGCGACGGGGATGAACCATATTCAGGCCGGCCCATCCCTTGCTGGTTCCTGAAAGGGTCTCCGTAATGGGTGTTGTGGGGTGGTGAGAATATTGGCGACTCCCCAAGCCCTGAACATCTCGAATGAGGACTCTCTGGATGTCCGAGTGACTCCTGGGAGCCTTGCTGTGATTGTGGTAGATGACCCTGTTGCTGCTGCAGCTGTGATCTGAAGTAGGGGTCAACCTGCTGAGCCCGTCTGGGGGTTCCAGGAGTTCCTGGTTGCATGTCAAAGGGGCCAAGACTGGCTGGCCGTCCCTGAGGAGGACCCTGTGGGCCGGAAGCGGAATAACCTGAGGAAGAGGCCTGTAAAGGGCTGGGGGGGAACGGTGTGGTTGGGTGAGAGTGAGAATGAGGCGACTGAGGAGGAAGCTTGGCCAAGGGATCTGTCCGGATTTCAGCCGAACCCGGAGTCCTTAGAGGCCCGTCTGAGAAAAAGACAGAGGAGGATCCTGAATCTGGAGGGAAGGGAAATGGACTCTCTGCTGAGCTGGGCTGGGAAGAGATGGATGTAGAGCCTGAAGGTGGAGGGATCTGGAGGTGCAAACTGGGCCGTTCCGTCTTCACACGCACTCCCTCCGTCTTGATAGGCCTGCACACCTGACTCTCCGCCTGCTGTGGGAAGAGGAGAGTACAGAGGAAGCATGAATGATATGCACCACCACTGAAGGAAAGGTATCAAACCACGCATCTACTTTGAAAAAGAACAAGGATTCTTCAGCTTTAGTCACCTTCTGCGCCTTGTTGATCCTCTGAGCTGCTCGGTTATCTTTGGCCTTTTGCTGCAAAAAGTCATGAGATTGTTTCAATATTATGAATATCATTTTAACGTGTGCATAACAAAAACACGCATTATTATAAATCAGCATGTAAAAATGGGCCATGTTAAGTTATAGTGCAGTGATGTCATCCTGAGCAGAGAATGAAGTTGTATTTTGCTGTTAGCAAAGTTAGCTACTTGTCAAAGAGTCAGCCATGTTGAGAGCCGTGATCAATACACCTTTAAATGCAGATATACTTTTACTTACATGTCAATATTACTGATACTAATACTGTTACTTGTTAGACGCTTTTATCCAAAGCGACTTACATACTCAATACTGTGGACAATCCCCACAGGAGCAATTTGGGGTGAAGTGTCTCAGGGACACAACGACATGCTGACTGCAGTGGGGTTTGAACCTGTGACCCCCTGATCCAAACGCACTACCCACTGCACCACACGCCTCCCTACGGATGATCTCACTAAATGTAGTAATACCCAGCAGAAATGTAAACATTTGAGTTACAGTTTCCTTTATTTCTGTATTTGGTCATTTTTCACTCAAGGCTTTATGTATAGAAGGTGAAGGTACAATAAGCCATTAGGGACAATTCAAACAGAATAACAAGAACTCAAGGTCTATGATAACCATTTGGGAAAATGCACAACACTAGAACCGCAGGAAACAATTGTTGATTTGATAAAGAGATAAAACATTTTTTTACTATATTATATATTTAACTAAAAAGCAATCAAAACAGAACTCACCAGATATGGAACCTTGTCAGCAGCTGACACCTTCCTCCAGACCTTCATGATTTGTTTACAGCGATTAGCCCAGTCTGTGACAGGAGAAATATTTAACAGCTGCCCAATATATAACGGAGATATAAAACTTACTTTGAAAAAAGCGAAAGGTCTGTTTTGTCCTCTTATAGACTGTGTATATATTATTATTTCATCCTCTCTTACCTGGGTAGTCCTGTCTGAGAGTGGGAAAGTTGGTATTGGCATAAAGCACTGGGGAAATGGTTGAGAGTTCTCCCAGCTCCTCGTCTTTCTCCCACCGCTGGAGGCTGCGCTGGTTGTAGGACAGCCCATCACTTTCTCCCTCAGTGGGGGTGGGTGGGGAGGAAGGGGTTACTGGGGTAGAGGGATTGGCCCAGGCGCTTTCCTCACTTCCATCTGGACTGAACAATCCTCCTCGCTCCCTGCACACCATATGATAAGTTATTGTCTTGTAATGTGTTAACGACACTGTCAAAAATGAAGTGTGTGTATAAATTCAAACCGATCTACAGCAACAGTTACAAATTGTTGTAAAATAAAATGCTTAGGAAAAGCAGTATTGGTCTCACCGCATATCGAAGAACGGTGACTGAGAGAGGCCAGGAAAACCATCCATCATTCCAGCGGAGGGCAGGGACCCTGTTAGAGATGGTGCACGCTCAAATTCATCTCAAGCCACGATTCACATTCATTTTGTAAATAATCCTCCTTACACAATCAAACAACAGATATGGTTTTATACTGTCTGTGTATCTGTTCATTCATAAGACTGGCTGATGACATGTCCTTGTACACACCTGAGAGGAGAGCTCTCTGCGGCAAAGCGCTACGATTGAGTTCTCCCTTACTGCCCTCCAAGATGGGCTTCATGCCCCCCAGAGAGGAGCCGTCTGACGATCCCAGAACCTTCCTGAAGAACTGCTCAGAGTCCTGACTTTCCACCCCTAACGGAAGACCTGTCACACAAGGACACCAGCATGTAAGGTAGGATGCTACATCAGGTATTCTCCCCACTGGTTGATGTTGCATACTGTTAGACCAAAGAAACCTCAGGTGGGAATACCTTCACTCTTTTCTGCATCAGAGTCATGAGGATCAGTTGACGCCTGTTCTTTCAGTGATGAAGACGGTGCAGAAACTCCTAAACAAAAAATGTATCATTTTAAACCAACCTGAAATTACAACACTAAGACTAAACCAGCAGCAGCAAACAAACAGAAACGTACCTGCACCTTCTCCCTGAGCCTGGGGGCCATCACCCCCCTCTTGCTTGATAAGAAAATATTCTTTCACCACACGATCTTCATCTAGTAAAAGAAACACAAAGGTCACAAAAGGTGCTCATGGCATCCACACCCACAAATGATTTGCAGTGTTCAGGTGTCAGAGGTCAAGTTAGTGTTCTCACTCTCTGGGGCAGAAGTTCTGACCCCTGACGGTGCTGGTAATGAAGGTCGGACCAGGCATGCGCCCGGCCTCTGCCCTGGAGGTGTCATCACAGCTTTCTTACCCAAGTCTATAAGTGTCTTCCCAAAGAAAGCCTCCTGAAAAATGTACAAACATTTCAAAATGATCTCACTGGATAAAATAAGTTTAAAAACAGTTTAAAACACTGGGCATAGAGAGAGTTAAACCTGGAGATAAGATGGAAACATGTCCTCAAGTTTGCTCTTCTTCCGTCCCCGTCGCTTCTTGGCCTGTTCCTCGCCCTCCACTGGTTTAGGATCCATGATGTTATCTGTGTCAGGGTGAGGTCCTGCACATATAATTATGCAATTCAGTTTCACAATTTAACTGAATTTACAAAAAAAAAACATCAATGGGTTTTCTGAATACATAAGTGTTTATTTTTTGTATTGGATGTAATTAAATTCTAAAGTTGTCACCAACCCTCGTCAATGGTTCTCTCTATTGGCTGTCCATCTAATGTAGTCTCTCCAGCAAGCTGGGCGAAAAACTCTTTCTTCATCCGTGTGTGACACTTCCTTTGTCGCACCATGAAGCCTCCAATTCCTGTTACAACATACAGATAATGATTTGTTCATATATTGTGGGTACTCAAGACATTTGTAGATGTTTGAAGTCTTTTGGCAAATTCTTGATAGCTTACCAGGCCTGTAAGGTTTCCGCTTTCTTTTTTTGCTGTCCTCAGTCTCCTCTGCTCCTCCTTTGACACCATCGCAGTCGGCCATGCCATCAGGGCCTACGTCTGCACCTCCTTCTCTGTCAGGGCTACCAGGGTTCTCCATTTTGGATTCACATTCCATGGGCTCCCCACATCCTTAACAAACAAGATAACAAATTGAGTCTGACATTGAAAAGGAGCAGAACCCAACAAACATTTGAATACACCATTGAACTAAGTGTGCGAACCTTCGTCACCCTCCCTCAGATCCATCCCATCAGAGCCTCCTTCACAGCACAGAGCGCCGAGACGTGAGCGGCGCTGCCGTCTCTTGTGCAGAGGAGACATGGAGATGCTGCGAAGCAGGGACATGCCCGACTCTGTCAGCCACACACCCTCCAACCGGTAGAACTGGGGTTCTGTAAAGTGACATTTGTAAATATGAGTGAGTAACAGAAAACAAACAAAGGACGACCATAGGAAATGTGCTTGGGATTATAAACCTTAGTAAGCATAATCCACTAACCTGGCTCTTTGATCTTTATTGAAGCCATAATTGCTGACTCTACTACAGCGAGCAAAGGCAGGTAGAGAAAAAAAAGATTCATGTCATCAGTAAACAAGAAAATATCCTATGAGGGTTTTTCAAAGCAAATTCTTCCAATCTTAGTTTCTAAATAGTGTCGTTGTGGAACTTACCCACGGGTTTTGGAACATATACGCTGCAGGATGTGCATGCAAAGCCTTCATCAGAAGCTTGTTCCACCTCATCCTCTGTGTACAAACTCTCACAGACAGCATGGAGCCATCTGCACAGGCACACAGAAACACGTTGATGCACAAACTTTCCTTAACAAATCACACCCCGAATCAAAGATGTAACGGAATAATTCATGATATGAAAAATACATAAATAATCCATTCCCCGCTCGTCTTCATTAGTGGCGGTCTCATGAATACCTCAGTTGTGTGTGTGTGTGTGTGTGTGTGTTCATCTGTCTTGTTTAACTAGTATCGTTATACGTCATCTGGAGGGCTGCTCCTGCTAACCCTCTATGACCTCAGTGTGGACAGGACTAAATGGTTGCTCTTATTGGCACATTATTGTGTGTGTGTGTGTGTGTGTGTGTGTNGCCTGTCTCCCCTCGGCCGACAGGAAGCGAAGAGCGGACGCTCTCGCTGTGGTGGCCGAGGTGGACGATTGGCCCGTCCAGGCTTTAGGGCACGTGGACGGCAGCAAAAGCAGGTGGACGACATCCGTCAGCACGTTAGCTGGCTCCAGCCTGCTGGGCGGTCACAGCAGCACCAACGCAGCTGCAGCGTCCAACCCCGGCCCAGGGCCGTGGGAAGTAGGGGTGCTGAGGGTGCTGCAGTACCCCCTGGTGGAGGACAGGGGATCTGCACTCCCACAAGATNCTGGAGGGCTGCTCCTGCTAACCCTCTATGACCTCAGTGTGGACAGGACTAAATGGTTGCTCTTATTGGCACATTATTGTGTGTGTGTGTGTGTGTGTGTGTGTGTGTGTGTGTGTGTGTGTGTGTGTGTGTGTGTGTGTGTGTGTGTGTGTGTGTGTGTGTGTGTGTGTGTGTGTGGTTCTCCTGAGCAGCACCCACCGATCACAGTACTGACACTGCAGCAGCAGCTCCTCCTCCATGAAGTTCTCTCTGCAAACTGGACAAGTGACGAGGCTGGCACAGGGGCCACAGTGTGTGTAGTTGTTCTGCCACTCACAGTGGAAACCTGGGGTGTTTGAACCACACTGGACGCAGCACACACACCTGCACAAAAGTAGTGAAGCACTATGTGTTGAATATAAAGCTCATATGCAAGATTGAAGACAGAAAACAAGTAGAGGAACTATTTTGAGTGTTGCAATATTGTTTCAGTTGCTACAGAAGCAAGAGGCATAGGGATGGGCCTCTGAATTGCTAATGCAGGCTGAGGCATGAGTGTTTTACATAATATGCAAATTAACATGTATTCATTTCCATTTGGCCCTATTCAAAGCTACCATGCTGAATGAAACAGTGTGCTCTTATGCTGCATTTATACTGCATGATACTGAACTAGTCTTTTTTTTTACCAGGAGACATTTAAACAGTGCAGACCGCTGATTGGTCAAACGTCTCCAGTGCGACACAGTCCTGCAATTTGTATTAGCCACCGTCAATAGTGACTGCAGTGTTTTAATTCACTAGACCGAGATGTCAGCATGCAAACTGACGTACAATTGACGTAGTGCAAATGTTCCCGATTGGTTTCATGATGGACAGGTGGCAGAAGAAATACAATTAAAATAAAAAGTACTGGTTCTTAAAATTAGTTGAATAGAGCCGAACTTTGCGGTTGACATTTTGTCAGTTAACGTTACTCTTACCATTTGCACTTCCAACCACCCTTGGGGACATTGTGCAGGGGCGGGTCCAAGCAGTAGGTGTGATAGCTGACATCACAGTCGTCACACAGCAGCAGACGAGAGGGATCCGAAGCCTTTCCACACATCTCACACACAATACATTCCAGACAGCGCCAGCCCTTACGGAGCATCGTCTTGGTGATCTACAGGAAATATCAGGTTTAATTATTTTACTCTTATAAATACTGTGAAAAAAATACACATTAAAAACAAAGGAAAATGTTGTGCTTACTTTGCTGTTCACACAGTAAGGATGGTAACACTGGGCACACTGAGCACAAGCCAACAACTGCCCCTCTGAACCCTTTCCAAAACTGCCGCACACAACACACATATCCTAGAAAGAAAGGAAAACATAACAAAGAGGAAACGATGACTATTTGCGGTGCATTTGAAAGTGGAAATTGTAGTTATGCCACAGGGTAATTAAAAAGATGACATAAGAGCTGTACCTGGAGCAGGACAAATTTATCAGTGTTTGAGAAAAGAACCACTGTGTTCTGCATGGTGTCGTCTTCCTCCTCGTCTTCCTCTTTACTCACTCCAGTGTCTGTGGTCATGCTTAGCTGTGAACAAGGGGATAAACCGTTAAAGATCAAAATATCAATAACAAAAGTATGAAAAGAGTGACTATGACCACCTCATAAAGCTCACCAAGAAAGCGTCGATGCAGGAAGCCATGGCTTTGAGGCGGGACCTCCCACCCCGCCCTCTCCCTCCACCGCCTCCTCGGGGTCTGCGCTTCCCAGGAAAACTATTGCTTCGCCCCTACAAGCAGAGTTAAACCAATTAAATGTCAAGTCCTACAAACAACTTAATTTAAAACCATCATCAGCTGTTTGAGTAAAGAAAGACCAACCTGTTTGACCCGCGAGCGGCCGGGGGACCCTCTGCGTTTCACCTTCTCTCTGTCGCCTCTGAGGGGCTCGAAGGGAAGCGAGTCATCGGTCTCAGACAGCAGGTTATCTGCGTGCGAGTGGCCGAGCTCCATGGAGAGCTGAGGGTCTTGTTCTCCTGGAGAGCCCAGAAAGCCGCTGCTGCTCTCGTCTCCATGGCTCAGGTAAGACAGGTCGTCCGGCTCCCGCTTTATGTCCTCAATAAGTCCATCTCCTTTCATTTGCTCATCATACTCGTCATCATCATCCTCTTCCTCAGAGTGAGGTAGTAACCTCCGCTCCATTTCCATACACGACAGGGCCTCTTGTGTGTCTCCTGATATAGAAAGAGGAGAAGGAGACTGAGGGTCCGGGCATGGACTTCTTTCTTGCCGATTATCCACAGGGGAGTGCTCCGTTTTGTCCACAGAGGCAGGAGAGGATGGTAACTTTGGTGGACCCTTACTGGATGGTGGTGGGACGTGCGTGACTTTGGAGCCATTTTTGAATGGCTCTGATGTTACTTCTTGTTCCACTGATGGAGTGGTTTCTTGCTTATCCTCCTTCTCCACCTCCATGTTTTCAGGACCCTGCTCTGACACCGGTGATGGTTCTTCTTTCGGGTTGTCAGACTGCGTCTCTGCTGGAGGGGCCTGGGGGGGGGCGTCTTTAGTCCCACGGCTGACTGCCTCTGTTACCCTCTCTTCATCAGCAGGTAGACAAGAGGCCCTCTGTTCTTTTGTTGCACAATCTACAATTAAGATTAAGGAATGCGTGGTCACTAGTGTAAACATTTACAAATATATCATTAGTTACGGCACACCATAATACAGATAATAAACTACTGCTTTGTGTTCATATTAAAAAATGTCTACAGTGTGTTACAAGTTTACCTGTGGCCTCAGTCTGAACAGCGGGAGCTTCAGAAGGCGATTCTTCTGTTGCTCCTTGCAGCTCGTCCTGCTTCAACTTCTCCCCAACGGCCGGTGTCTCAACAACTGCGGACTCCACCCCTGAAGCCAAAGGTAGTTAACATTAGAAGCACATCTCAGCCTGACATTTCAAATCGTTTAATTAGCTTACGTTTTAGCGACAGCAATTTACAATAAGTGCATTCAACCATGTGGATACAACCAAAACATTGGAAGAATCAAGAACATCGATCATATAAAAACAATCTGAACTGCTTTAAGTGCTGCAGTTGGAAAGAATAAGAGAGAGAAAATGTATTTCTTATTTACCAAGGTGCACAAACAAGATGCATTAATGTGCATGATGCAGACTTACCCAGGACCATGGGAGTCTCTTTATCAGTCGTGGCCTCGTCCTGAACCTTCTCCAATGCACCTTTCTGCCCTGGTGCCAGCTCTGATGAGTCTGTGTGCTCTTCTGTCACCATGTCTGCATCTGTTTGGATTGTCGCCTCCACCAAATCCACAGTCTCCTCAGACGCCTCTCTGGTTTGTATCTCTGCTGTGTGTGATTTAGTGACAGGCTGCAGCTGACCCTCCTTGCAAAGCCGGCAAATGCACTTTGCTTCTGGAAGCTCCCCCGGTGAAGAACATTCACTGTGCACCGATCTAGGACAATTAAGAGATCATGAGAAATATTGTATGACAAGGAGCGATGAGCCAGCATAAATGAACACTATTTTGCTTCTGCATCAAACTAACCTGTGGCATGTGCTGCAGCTCTGCAGAGTGACAGATGTGTTGGCAGCTTTGCTGCACACGCCACACACAGAGCTGCGTTGCCGCTGGCAGCCCTCACACACGGCGTAGTTGTCAAACCACTGGGCCGAACCTGGCAGCCCCAGTCCATGGACACCACACTCCGTACACACACGACACCTCTGAGAAAAATCAGACAAAAAAGGTGTAAATTGTAAACCGAGTAGTCAAAGAAGCCCTAAATATCCTGATTTAAAAAAGGGGTTTCTTCGGTTAGGTACATTTTGGAAGTATAGGAACGTATTTGTACCAAGATGAAAGACAAATGTGACTTACTCTGCATTTCCATGGGTCAGAGGGAAGAGAATCCATGGCTGGCTGGAGGCAGAAGGTGTGGTAGCCCTTATCACAGGCATCGCATACCAACATTTTGGAGTCTTCACCTGGTTGCCTAAAATAAATGAATAATAAAGACATTCATCTTTAAAAAAAAGAATTAAAAAAAAGCTAAAAAAAACAACAACAAAAAACAGGATGAAATATAATAAAAAACATTCAGGCACTATCTAAGAATTGTTTTTGTTACCTGCACGTCTGGCAAACTTTACACTCTGGGCACTGCCATCCTGCCCGCTGGATAGGCGTGGCACCGATCTCTAGACAGGCCGCATGATAATGTAGGCCACAACCCGTACAGAACAGCAAGTCTGTGAGCTCCCCCGCTGAGTCACACACTGCACACCAAGACTCCTCACCTGCTGTAAAGAAAATAATTAAAATACATATGAACTCAAAAATCACAAGATAGTAAGCCAGTAGCCACTTTTGAATAGAGGCCTGGTGTTTTGTTTCACAAAGCAGGTATTGTTTCTATAAGCCTGAAAATATTCAACATTCAAGAGATGACATGTCCCAAAGTCCGCTTTTTTCAACTTTCAGCATATGCAGGCAGTCGACACGTGATTTACACAAAGGCATTCAAATGTAGAGTTCACAGACAAGAAACCAAATTCAGAATAAAACTGCCAATAGAAATGTAACCACAATTATTTTTTCGGCGAACCATTGAATCAGTTATATCGATTCAATAAAAGAACATACAATAATAATTTCCTTTCAGTTTTTGATTCAATAATTAATCTGTTGTATTTTAGCAGAAATATAAATCAGCAGACAAGCTGAACAGAGTATAGCTATTATTGCAAGTAATTTAGCTCTTGCTAAATTCAACAATGTTAGTGTATACACTTCCCCTTATTTTCTCCTATAGTACAACACTATACTACGCCTAGTATAAGCCTGGCTGTGAGCAAGCACCAAGTAGACATCACAATTTGGACAAGGATGTCTGGTTCTCTTACCCAACTCCTCCGCCTTGTCTATGTGCTCTGGACAGAGGAGGACCAGCTGCTTCATGGACTGGAAGGATCCACTGGCCGCCGAGCAGGGGAAGTGGTAGAACCGCGAGCAGCCCTCAGCATGGCATCGAGTGGTTGCACCCAGCCTTTTGCAGTATTCGCAAAGCTTAAACAAACCAATGGAAACAAAGATTTATTAAGGAAACCTGTTCATTCCTATATTCTCTCCTGATATTATATAATCAAAACCAATGGACAGTGAACTTACCCGCTGTGTCCCTGAGATAACGGCCTTATCCACATTCTCCAGCTCCTCATCCTCCACCTGTTTCACCCCCTCCGACCACGCAGCACACCAGTGATGAACCAAACAGCCCCCTGTTTAATATAAAGCACAGCGTCAGCGACATCTCTAACATTATTTCACCAATTCTACACCTGTGTGCTGCATTTCTAAACGATTTCGAACCTATAATATGCTTGATTCCTGAAAGTTATTTGTTATTGTACATAAACAAAATATAATAAAATAATGTTTTGTTTTCAACCTGAGTCGTCAAAGAACGATGCCAGACAGGGGGAGTCGGAAAATCCAATGGAAGACAGGTCATCATTTCCGGGCTGTGGCAGTAGGGAAGCTGATGGCTTGAGGGTCGGCCGTTCAGAAGACGGCCCAAAGTGTCTCAGCTCCCGCTGGCCGTGCAGGCTCCGCTCCACACAGTTACAGAGCGCACAGGCTCGGACGCTACCACTGTACAGTAAAAAAAAATACAATCAGAGATTCCATTTTTGGTTTTGCCAACAATGAGTAGCTTGTTGACATATAGACTATCGACTTAAACATTTTTGATAGGAATTTATAACCTACTCAGGTGTGCTGGACGGGGCTGAGGTAGCACCAGACAGGTCCTCAGCAGCAGGAAGGGCTTTGGACTCCTCCTCAGAGGAGACAAGCTTCTTCGTAGGGGTATTATCATCAGCTAGGGAATGAAAAAGAAAGAGAATAATTGAATTTGACTAACCCCAATTTGATTTGCCTGCTATTAGCTCCTCTAATAAATGATTTGTACAAATTCAAATATATTTTGTTCTCAGCCCTGTGCCTTTCTCTTTAAGTCCAAAGGCAAATTATTTATCTTCCAGCAGAAAAGTGTACATTAATAGTGGATGATGTTTGGAAATGGTGACATTTGAATAACGCATTACCTGTTGGTTCAGATTCATTTTCATCGCAGTTTGTTTTCTGCTCGTCCATCCCCCGTATTGATGTTGACCTCCTTGACAGAGATCTGCAATTCAGAAACAGAAGTAAAATCAACTTGTTAATGTTTATTAGAAATTAATTAATTTAACTCAAATGTTCCTTTATCTCATAACTGGCTATGCAAGACATGAGTGTGCCATCACTGACCAATGAATGTAGAGGAAAATATCTATGTTAGAAGCATTACTAAAAAGGCATATGATTGGTAGTTTCTCCCACATAAAGTAAACAACCAAGTGGAACTACTTAGAAATATAAAATGTCCTTTTCATTAGCCAACATATGTCTATCATCATGAAAATACATTCCTAAAATGCATTTTTCTTTTCCAAAACATAGTATACAGTAGCCTCACTAACAATCCAAAACCACTTTTCTCAAACAGATTTAGAACAAACAATGCAACCGATGAAACATGGCTGTTGGGTGCTCACTTTAGATTATTTCCTTGTGTTAATCTGACTAACGCTAGCACTAATGCAGCCGAGCTTCCTCTGAAACTCATGAAAATAGCGCGAGTGTTACAGGACAGAGATCGTTCGGAAACCGCTTAAACAATTAAAGTTATCATTTACCAGGCAATGCATAATCCAAATCGGTGAAACGGCAGCGTGAAAAAGCACACAATGATAAAACTAAAATGGTGTTTTCCCCAAATAAAACAACCATAAATCGGGATACACAAAGAAAACACAACTTCCGTATGGAGAACTTCCTGTTGCAGCGGAGCTTCTTTCGTGCAAAACATTTATCGGTCGCTTCATGGTTCCGCTGTGAGATTCACGACATTATCAAATAATACTGTCAAATAAATTATGCAAGACTTGGCTGTATCACCATTTAATTTTATTCACATAGTTAGTAATATACAGTCATGTTATTGAACGTGTAAACGCCACTAACAGACCACAATTAAACATGAGCAGATCAGCTTCCATTGGAATGGTGTGTTTTACTCATAGTAGGCCTATATCACAGAATGGCCAATATGTGTTTATATAGCTTTAAATCTCATGTCACAAAAGAATATAGGTGACGACAAAACCGTCAGTGATGCCATGCTGTATGTCCTGATGAAATGGGCTCACATGACAATATATGTGACGGTTGCTTAGAAATATAAATCTAGCTGAAAATATTGCACTGTTTTGTTATTTAAAACAACAAGAAACTGTGCCACCATACATGTGAAATCATCCCGTGAGCCAACACACACTTTGTGACATGTTTCCTTTTCATTATCACAGAAGCAGCAGCAAGGAGATCCCAACCGAGGACCCATAGAACAGATTATTTATTTTTCAGAAGTTCAGAATGCATTTATTTATTACACCAAATCGATTACAGTGCATCTTTGTCATAATCATTTAGTAGTTTTTTTTGGATGCATGTCCAGCCAAAACTCCCCAGGTAATATGCAACATACTGACCCTTTGGACTACACACACACCATGTCTGGATCTACATGTAAACGCTTTTTGGCATATGGCAAAATAAGCCGTGAACGCCATGATGCAAACCCAGCTGATGGACAAATTAATTTCTCTATGAAGCATTAACGTTACATCTTTGTAACAAACGCATTCAGTGGCAGCAATACTGGAAACGCACTCTCTTCTTGACAACAAACTAACGTCAAAACCAAGTCTTACAAAAACCTTGTGCTACATCACGTATAATAAGCATAGTGAAACGGCTTTGTCTCTAAAATGAAGTTGGCACTGATCAGAGCAAAAGGGATGACATGATGGCCAAGTTACCGTCTTAACACCATGCTAGCTAAGTTAACGTTAAAAGTGTTAACGCTACAAATTAACTTTAATGTATGTGTTGTTGTTTTGTAATGTCAGTCAAAGCAGCAGCTATTTATTTTTCAGCGCCTCGACAGAAGCTAGTAAGATTGTACAGTTTAATAACTGCAAAGCTAAGCACTATTCCTCAATGTAAACACCGACTTCAAAGGGTTGGTTCCGTCCAGCAAATAGCCGTGTCCGTGTCACCGGCGAGAGGTTGAAACGGAAAAGCCAACATCTACCAATGGTGACGTAGCAACAAAGTGTCCCAAAGAGGCAAAACTACGAGAAATGCACCCTATCTTATACACACGCCAATGAACTTCTAAAATGTTAATCGGCTACTCTTGTTATCATACCTTGGGCACAGCCAGCGTAAAACATATTTCAACGTAAAGTTAGCACCCAGGTAACATAGCTAGTTCTCCAGCAAGTAGACCCCTCCATTTGGTTGAAGCTAACAGCTAAGTGTTACCGAAGCAGAGCTAACATTACCCGGTCTAAGGTCAGGGTTGATATGTCTTTAGGTATGTCTGTTGCAAGAAGTTGAAGGAGGCCATAATAAAAACAAGCTCACCTCACAAAAACAATATCGTCTCCTCATACATCAGCAAAATCCAAACAGCCACACAGCTTCCCAAAACGCTGATGGTCGCTTCATTTTATGTACCGGACTAACGCTGCGGCTAGCCGGCTGGAGGGAGAGTGGGGGAAGTGCACCTCGGCGGAAGGCAGGCAGTGCAGCTAGCTCCTTAACTAGATGGATAATGCTATGGTTAGCTTGGTATCCAGCACATCGAACTTTGTGTAGAGTGGTCGTATACTGCCGGGGAACTATAAAACAACGCCACAAGTCTTTAACCAGTCCATTCATAGGCTCCACAGCATCAATCTGTGAATCCAGAAACTAATCAGATATCTCGCTCCTGCTGGGGGATTTAGCTTGAATGCTAACAGGAGCTAGCTTCTGCTCTGTTCTGGAATCTCGCTCGCGAGGTCGTTAAAGCTACTAATTTACTAGTTTGCACAAAATAGTGCATGCTAAAACTACAGTGCAAAACTTTGTTGGGACTAAAGACAATATTGTTTACTGTTAGTTGTTGTACACTGCAAACATGTATCTGCCTAAATGTGCAGCTCAACTTTGTATTTGTAGTACTCATGTACGGGACACTAGCATCGCTTCACTTTGCTGAACTGCGTTGCTTCTGCACATTGCTGCTCCGCCGAGTGCTAGCAGAGCTAGCTAATAACAACTACGTCAACAAATTATTCATGCAAAAGAACGATAAAAACATTTGTATGTATCACTAGATAACAGTAAACCGTGTTACAGCTCTAGTGTAGTTATGGATTATTTGTGCCAATATGATATTTAGCATACAACATACGGGTCTAATCTCGAAAGCTCCCACCACTCAAATATGGTGGATATATGATATCAACTCATTAGATGTTCAGATCCAGGGAAGCCATTTTTCATCAGATTGTTATAGTTGTAGAACCGAAGCCCCTCTGATATGCCGACGGACAAATGCATCTGTTTTGAAAATCAGGACCGATATTAATGACTTCTAATAGGATCATAATTCTTAGTGCAAATTCATTTTGTAATTAACATAAACAATGTGTACTGTGCACTTCATCGTGGTTGCTAATTACTTATTCTGCGTATGTTACTTTATTCTCCTACTGTTACCATACTGTTACATACCATACATTGCGCGTTTTGCTGGAGCGAAATGATTTATAGATTACTTTAAACTATAGGGATGTGAAATAAACCATGACCTAGTTTTCAGCAGATTCACTGATAATATTGAGCAAAAAGAACTGTTTCTGTATCCCTTGCGACTGGGGGCAACATTGTTTTGTCCATCCACGTAGGTGGTGTACACCTTTTATCAACCCTTAGTCTTCAACTAAGATAAGAAGCAATCATAAAGTATACTGAGGGTAAACATTATAAAGATCCTATGGCGGTGGGGATGAGAGGTTGGCCTACTCTGTCATTCTGTTGCCTTATCACTGTGAGAAACCCCTTGTGGCATGGGGGCCTCAGGAAGGATGGGTTCAAGAACGCTCAATTTCTAAATGTTTAAGGTTTTAGGTAAACCAAGGGACTGCGTGACTTTGCAAGCAGCAACTTTCAATGGTTCTGCAGATTAGGGCCAAATCAAAAGCAGGCTTCAATCAAAACCTTTGAACAGCACAGTCTAAAATTACATTTAATTAAGTTTTCAGAAATCCTCTTATTTTTCTGCTTCTTAAATCACAACACCAACCTCCCCATGTCATATTTTCATGGTCCGTGAACAAAAAGCATGAAGCAGTACATCAAGGAAAACTTGAATGACATTGGAATGATATTGTGAACAAATACACCTGGGGCACCTGCTGCAGCGTGGGTGATCTGCAGCTGACCCTGCACTGTGAAAAATCTTTGGTAATGCATATGTGCAGAGGCATCTAAAGGCCTCAGGGCTCCGTTGAAACCACTGAAGATAAAACATTTTACAATAATTATTTCAACCGGATGAATGCAGTTGGTTTTCTAAAGCATGCAGCTAAATAAAGAATTGTCTTCCAAATGTGACCAGAATCCAAGACTTAAGAAATGCTGATTCACACCCACACATTCTAGTTAGGAGCCTAACATTGTTACAGATTGTTCTGGTAGATAGCCATTCCTAATGATACTATAAGACATTGTTTTTTAAAAGGCTGTCCTTCCATCCTTTAGTTTTTGAAGAATAAATGTGGTTTCATATTGACTTTGATTTTCTCCCCCTTTTAAAAAAAAAGAATTGTTCTTTGGATTAGTCAGTGAGTAACTTGTTACTATGATTAAAGTCATTCAAGGTCAAGGTTTCTTAGATTATATTATTATTATTATTATTATCATCACAAATGGAGTTACTCTTTATTGTTCATGATAGAAAACAAGCCTACCCCGATTTCAGCAGAACATTTGATAATGTTTGGGAATATCTTCTGTGGCACTCAATAGATGTTTTTAATTCACAACACATTTATAACAAATCTCCACTGATGCAGCCTTCTCTTTCATTTTTAAATGAATATTGTCATACACACAGAATTATATTTAGATCAGAAAATATGTTCTTCTCATTGTCTGAATGTGGGGTGTGCAGGTTTTAATTTGGAAAATAGGTTATTATTGGTCACCCTGACAGGATTACTTAACTCCCTATTCAGCTTTGGCAAAATTGGATTAGATTTTGGGGGGCTGAGACTGTTTGGAAGACAGTGACTGATTGGCTGATGGATGTAAATAGAGGGTGGTATTAGGACATCAGCTGATCCTATTGGCCGGTCAGTGGAGCTGGTGCTTTCCCATCTGCCTCCTGTAACTCAAGGATAATCCCCTCCAGTACTCCACAGATGTTTACAACAGAACATAAACCTAAAGAAGAGAATGCAGTTTGAGTGCTCAGTATTTGTAAGAGTTATTGACTTTAAACAGCTCTGAATAAACATAATGCAGTTTGTGGACCTGTTTAGGTTCATGGTGTGATAACGTGGTGTTGAATACTTCAGTTAGACATGTACTGTTTTGTCAGAGAACACATTAATCCACCTCATTGTATTTATTGACTAATATACTACAAGTAATACAAAGTACAAATCAAATCAAAGTTTGTTGAACTACGGTTTATTATCTAGAGTTGTTATTGCATGTACAAGTGCATTTATTGTAAATGAAATGTTCAGGCTTGATATCAGCTTTCTCCACAAGAGGGTGTATAACCCTATATTACTGTCCTGAATATGGCATTTACACATACATATAAACCTTTTAAAAGTAAACTAAATCCAATAATATTAACTTGAAAAGGGCACATCTGTTTTGTAAAAAGTGTACATAGGGACTGGTAACCATAGAAAGTTATGTGAACAATGAACTGTACAACACCATCAATAGATATACTTGTGACCCAATTTGATCAGTGATTGCTAAAAAAGAAAAACTGTGTCCTTAAGATTGTAAGAAAATCAAACACTCCCTTGAAGCAGCTATGTGATCAAGTATGTGATAAAGTCAAGGTGGTGGCACAGTATGGGGAATATTAAGTACGTCCGGGCTTTTCATTAACCTGCAAGCCTGCTGGACTTCATTTCCACAGAGCTCTTAAACACTGAGACATAATGCTCAACTAAGACCAAGGGAAAGATATTTGTGCATGCATCTCAGGTTTTTCACACTCAGTTCTGCTAAACAAGCAAATGACAAATCAGCTTGACAGACACAATTGAAACTAAAGCTGAGAAAACCAGGCTGTTGCTTGATAAATCGAAATTTTAATCTGATTTTATGGCATGACATGTGACATACAATACATAGATTGTAATTATTATAATACAATTTAACATTTATATATATTATGATTCAGAAAGTACAAAAATAAAGTTTCTATTGTTGTGGGAAAATTAATTCCTATCACATTAGAATAAGATATATGTTTTACACATATAACCCAAATAATTAACAGAAATAACATGATGTACAAATAGAGCATTATACAGTTATTTTCAATATCATTTTTTACAGTAACCTTCTCAGATTGTCATCTCTTAAAAAATATTAATTAAGTAGTTTCAGGTATATCATTATGATAGTTTACAATGCAAACACGGGTATAAAAAAAGCAAGCAAGCCATTCTAGTGCTTTCATTTTTTGAAGAAAATAAGGAAGTGTTAGGGTGAATGCTTTAGAGCTTTAACATTGAATAGTGCAATGATTACTGATTATAGTTTCAGGCTTTTAAGGATGAAATGAGCTTGAGTCTAACAAGATACATCCGAAACGGTATAGTAATCTAGCATACCAGTGCACATTTGATGTCTGCTTCTCTTTCATTTCCATCCTCAGAGTTTGACTCTGACCATCTTGTTTGTTCAGAGTGTCATTATTCACATACACGTCTGCGTTGTATGCCAAAGTGCTACAATGAAATGGAGTCTCAGTGCAAGCTGTCTCACTGTCTGTGGTCTGGTGGTCTTTCCTTGTCTCCCCCAAAAGCAGCTGGTTGAATGAGGAGAGGAGTCGCACAGGTCCAAATGCCCAGTGTGCGAGTCTGTGGTCCTCCACCAGGGCATAGCTGGATGCCAGGACCCCATCAACAAACACAGTTCCAGCTTCTGTCAAGGGCGCATACACACCCACACTCTCCTCTACTGAAACTGAGATGATCCGTGATGGACGCACTTGACCCTGAGCTGTATGGATGAGAACACAATCTCCTGTTTTGGCTCTACTAGCAAACTGAGCCTGATACTCACTGCTGTGGTGTCTGCAAAGGGGGGCGAAAAAGAGTAAGTGATTTGGAGTGAGGGCCAATCTATGACCATCTTCTGTCTCCAGAAACAGAAAAGTAGACCAGCTTTCTTGATCCTGGTGCAGAAACAAGAGGACCTGGCTCCACACGACTTTGCCCGTCGCAGACAGGGCCATGACTCTGTCCCCAAGAGCCAAGGACGACAGGCTCTTCTGCACCCCTCCAGCAACAGTGACCCGGGCCCAGCCTGGGAAACAGCCCCCTTTCTCCACAGCAACAGAGTGATCTGCAGGAAGATTAGCAGAAACAGTCAAGATGATATAACCTATCCTTTTTTTGTCCTAAATGTCTTGATACATCATGTAGCGAAGTGATGTAATATGACCAGAGTTAGAAAGTAGAAAGTACAATTATTTAGAAGACAACAAATTCAAGGTAATTGTACTTTACTTTTGTATTTCTATTGAACTGGAGAATTTTCTCAGCTGTATTAGTACTTTTAATTAGGTGAAGGGTCTAACTAACTATTCCACCACTGAACACATTGACACGTGAAAGCTCCCTTCTTAAACTTACCAGCTTTTACAGAGCAGTGGATGTGATATTTGGACTCGTAGTGGACCCAGTCAAAGCCGGCCTCCACAGCCAGCTGGGCGAGAAGACCATACTTGTCTGTGTCTCTGTCGTCAGTGGTTATATCCACGGCCCGGCCTTCGTAGTGCAGAGAGCTGGCAGGGTGGTGTCCGTCCTCATCCCAGGCCTCCGTCACACGTAAGTGTACCCCGGGCCACTGGTTCATCACTGCGATCGCCAACCTGTTCAAACAGTCCTTACAGCGCTAGACAGAAGGAGACAGAGGGGAGGTGTTCAATTTGGAATTATTCACGAATAAATTAGCCAATATCAAAGATAAATTGCTATGAGCACATATGTGGGTCGATGAAAAATATGTTTTGGATCTTTTACAAACCACAGATCATTCAAAATGATTGTCCATCATTTCCCACCCAGTACATACAGAGATCCTTATCAAGCATGTTTGGTTATGCTATAAGAAAAAAGCTTTCCACTATCAATCAGGCTCTAGTATAACATTATTCTAAAGAAAGGTGTAGTGTTGGGATCAAATCAGGTAACTAATTCATCACAACAACAGTCTAACAAGTTTCCTATCTCATATGATAATGTTTCTTTTTCTAATAGCAAAATATGTTTCAAAAAATATTAATATAGCCATTTTCTAATAGCAAATATGTACTGTTCAACATCCTTAGTTCTTAAATCTATATTCAACGGTACCCTTTGTGCGTATAATGTGTGGATTGTATCAATTTTAACCTTTAATTCTAAATTGTTGTCTCTTTTATTTTGCATTTTAAAATGCATTGTATGTTGGATGTATGTGTTTCTCTGTATCTTTTGATATAAAAGTACATTCAATTACATATTACAAAAGGATTATTGATTTATTTTTATGGACTCATTTTATTTGTATTCCACCGATCCGTAGCATTGGCCATGTACAGTGAAAGGCATGCCTGAACTTCACACAAGCTGAAGGAACCCTTGTAATCATTTATTAACAGGCTGGATGGCACAGCTTAAACGTACAAGAAGTATTTGCAGTATGTTTGCCTACTCTACACCTCAGTGCACTGACAGATTTCAGTAAAACTCAGAAGAAAAGACGTATTTCTACAACGTCTCTGTCTCCTAAGTTATAATTGTTTGTCTGCTGGCATCATCACACAATTCCTCCTTTACTCTGCTAAAGGCCAACTCAACCTTGCTCCAACAATCAGAGCAACAGAACAAAGCTACTGTAGCCAGTTTGCCACATTCCTTGGCCTTTTCTACAGGGTGACAGTATAATCAAGGCCATTCTCTGCCTTTTCCAGTTTGTTCCAGGCATGAGTTTTCTCGGTTTCACCCAAGACATTTGATCGGAAATGTGCAGAGTGACTCTTAACACCCCCACTGCCCATGATGGTACAAACTGTGTCAGCATTGTCACAAATATCAAGCTTAAAAAACGATAACGTCAGCAGCCAAAGTGATACACTCATCATCTTCTCCTGAACGCATATTTCTCTTGTGACTTGTGATATGGCAGGTTTTGTGACATTAAATTGATTACCTAAATCTTGCGAAGTGAGTTAAAAAAAATTAGTGTTGGGAGAAAAGTGGTGAGGATGTGAATGGGAGAGATTGAGGGAGAAAGGGTTGGGTGAGAAGAAAGCGCTGTAGCGGCGGGGTGATGTTGGGAGTAAAGTGAGAGAGGGCAGAGGGGAGGAATGTATGGGCATGACATGGGAATGTGACAGCAAGAGTGAGAAAGCGAGAGGAACAGAAAACAAACTGGGTACATTTTTCTCGCAATGCCATTGAAGAGAGGCGTTTCATTGTCAGAACTACAATAGTCGCTTTTCCGACAGTGCCGTTACTTCAGCAGGCGGGAATTTTGTATAGGCGACCCCTCAGAGTATCCAAATGACACACAAAGAGAGTCTTTCACATCTGGGCAAAAGAGGGGCACAGGCACACATACACACACACACAAACTGGGCACAGTTAAAGGACCACAGATTTCCATCACATACAATCACACGGGGAGGGGAAGGAACACACATTTGTAACTTAAACAATCACAGAAAGCCACAGCATCGAGAGCAAGGCGACATCTTAGTGTTTAGAAACCCTTTGGTCATATTCAGCAGTGTGGCATTTCAAATGTTTTGTCAAAAAGCAAGTCTATGCCAAGATAGTCTTTTCTAGGTAGGAGATTTGAATTTGGATACCTGTCCCAAGTAAACATTAAGGCATTTAAGTTCAAGTGGCCCTGAGAACCTGTCATAGAAATAGTTTGATTTCCATTAACAAAGACTTTGGTTAAAGATTAAAAGGAAGTGTTCCTTAAGGGGAATGCAGTCTCTTTAAGAGGTAGTGTTGAATTACATCCTGATCTTCTTATCTCAAGAAAAGGGAGGGGGTACTTTGTTAAAACTACACACTGTGTGGAACATTTGTTTGTGTTAGGAGCCTGGCAAAGAGCAGGTATGGCTAACAATGAATGATTTGATAAGGTGCCATTCTGGGTGGCAGGGTGTGAGCCGTGAACTGCTGCCTATCCTTTCATGAAATGTAGTTAAACAATCATCCAGAAGAGTGGTTGGCTTGAAAAAGTTCAGGTTACTCTCTGCCTTGGATGCCTATTTTATTGTACCTGCAATACAACTGTCAATGGGCATCACTTGGGGTTATTACAAACAAGCAAACCAGTTTATCATCCTATTCAACAACATCCTTAAAACATTAGATAAATTAACTGGATAAACCACACCAGTCTCACCTTAGTCATGAAGCGGTCTGCGTTGGTGTTCTCCTCATCTTTGAAGATGATGTCTGGATTGTAGTTGCACACAAGTTCATTGAAGCGCTCAGAGTTGCGTGAGATCTTGCCCTCTGCTCTCCCGCTGGCACCAAGATTGTTTTCTGAGAAGTTGGGGAAAGACTGCTTGTAGTGCATGGCTGTGAGTCTCCTGGGCCTTGAGCGGACACCATACCCAGGGCCCGGCCCGCATCCCTGGACCAGCCACATGCAGGTCCACACAGCGAGCAGGAAGAGCTGTGCCAGGCGGGCCCACCAGGACTGTTTCATTGGGGAGGGTTGGGGCTCCCAGGAGTCAGCGGATCACAGTGATACCCCGGGGCCAGATGTGTGATGTAAATGAGAGTCAAATCTTGGTCCATTCCAAATCATGTGGTACTAGAGCTGATGAAAATATGAAAACAAGAACAGGAAGTTATATTTACTGCATTACTCTTGGAAAGAAAGAGTTTTATAGTTGTCAAAAACGATATTTGTTCTGACTTTCTTAAGGTTTGTACAGTTTGAGCAAAAGTCATAGCTCAAAGAAAGGTCCTGATTGGCTGACATGCAGAGTTTATGAACTTTGCCCCCCAGCAGCAAGACTCACTAGATTTTTAAGGTTTCTGTCCAAAATATATCGCCAACTATCAGCTGTTTCTAAGCCACAAACATCCCCATATGTCCTTGGCAGGTGCCTGACGTACTCGCCGCAGGTGTTTTTCGGGTGTGTCTGGTCACTCACCGCTTCTCGCTCCAAGCAGTTCCTTTGACGTGACGCACGCTAAAAGCCCCACGCACGGCTCCCTGCAGTTCCTATAGGCACTCCCGCAGCGCTCTCATCCTCTCGGTCCATCCAGAAAAGTTTCTCCTAAGATTTTTTTTTACTGCCTCTCTTCCTCTCCTTCGTCCACCGTCTTGTGTCGCGTCTCAGAGCTCCTGGCCACCTTGCACCAGCCATTGGGTCTTATTAGCGTCCGGACAAGATTGCCCTCCCTTCCTCTGCGCGCTCCCACTCCTACAGCACACGCCTCCAATTCAACCTTACAAAGGACATATGATTAGCCTACTTATGTTAACACAATGACCCCCCACCCTCCCTCACGATATTTCATATTTAAAGGTAGTTAAAGATAGTTTTGGACTCTTTTCCACATCAAGATTATACTCACCAACTTACACAAAATTATTTTTAACACATTATCATTTCTAGAATATGCAGTATATTTACAGTTACAAAAAACTACTCTTGACAATTTAATCATTTAAAACCAGCATGCCCTTGCTTCTGTCAGCTCATCCCACCCATCATAAGTGGACGGGTCACTGTGATGTCCCTGATGTTATTAATAGACACAGTTGAAGGTGAGGGTCTATGAGGGAACACAACAAGTGTCCAGCCTTGACACCCCTGGATGAGACTTACGGTGCTGCCTTCCTGTGTTTGGGGAGCCAGCATGACCCCCCTGAACCCTGTAAACCCTAGACCTCCACCACTGGAAACACCCACTGTCACATGGACATATTATTTTTATCTTTCTCAGAACAATAGATGGGAGAGTCATAAAATGTTTTCAGATAATTCCAATGAGGGAGAAGAAAAGAGAGGAATCGTGGTGTCTCAGGGGTCTGACATGTGTAATCACATACGGAAGCTTAAATTAATGGCAGATTAAAAGGTCGTAGTGTGTCATATTGTAGCTTCCTGGAACGCTTGAGGTTGACTCAGTGCATCACGGTCAGTTTCTCTACAGTTACTTTGTTGTAAAGAATCTATAGCCCAATCACAATAACGCTGCACTTACTGTATATTTATTCATCGTTTTGAGTCTGTGCATATCTCAGTTTGCTGTGATTGCATGCTAAATATGCTTCAATACAATCAATATTAAATACCCACACTCTTTCATCCAATGAGCACAGAGAGATTTATATAAAACACCTGTACATGTATTCAACTGTGAGTGATCTAAAACAGCACTCAAAGGAATATTTCACTACCCACAATTGTTGTTCTAATCAGTGAGTCCCTGTAAATGTAAGACATGTTAAAAAAGTTCTTAATCCCAAGTCCCATCAATGTTCTTAACAAAGTGATAAAGCCACTGACATTGACATGAGATGTTTTATCGTGTAATGTGTCCTATTTTTTTTTACCCTCTGTCTGATTTTATTGTGTTATTTGGTGAGCTGAAGACACATTTCTACACTGGTGGACAATACAAATTTATTTTCAAAATAACGTTTGTGTTTATCTCACACAACTAGTATAATCTTCCACATAAACAGTACTCCCACATAGGAGCAGTAAGCCTGCTCTATCATGAGGTGAGCTTTTAATGTTAAGGTTTAGGTGAAAATGCATGTTTTTGTGAAAAATGGGATTACACTGCACAAGTTATGAGAGAGTTTGTAAATGGATGGTTTGATATCGCTTTGCTGATGTTGAACTGGCCCCCTTTACTTCAATTCATCAAGAAGTCTTTCCTCTTTTTGGATTCCTTGTTCACCCTGGAGGCATGTGAGATAACAAAGTGTTCTTCAGAAATTCAAGGTAACATAGTGGGATTCATTGATATACAATTGATAGTTTTGGGGACAACGTATTCTTTTTAAATAGCTTTATCTATGAAAAAGCAAAGGTCACTAAGCTCCATATGACCCTGGAGAGACATCCTTGTTAGGGAAGTTTTCCAGAAGATCCCAGGATGTTGAAGGGAGGGGTGGCAAGGCGAAGCTGCATCTTCCTGTCCTTATGATAAACATGGAAGAATGCTCAAGTCTGGCCCAAGCAACACAGATGAAAGATATCAGCCTTCATGACAAATGCAGGGAATGACTCAATCAAAAAAAAGCAACAAACACTTTCATAACTACAATTACCCGCACCAATGTTTCCCTTCAAAGCCGAACAGGAGAGGAGATTTTCATCAGACATGAAAGGGAAAGGAAGGAAGCAAACATCTGCGGGCTGGAGATGGGAATAAAGTCATTCTTATTAGTTTTTTATTTTGGTGCCCCCATCCTCCTTCCTCCCCCTGCCTCCTTCTGGCTTTCAGCATTTCACTCCCCTATTTCAGGATGGGAGATGGGAGTACATGGCCCAGGGAACGCTTGGGTTTCCTGCAAAGACACAGCACAGAAAACGAGATCTTTCCTGCTCGGGTTAGCCTACCCTGCTTTGTTCTTTCAAAATGGATTTCTCTGAATAGAATTGGAAGGGATGAAACCCTCTTTAATGGTCACACATGCAGAGCACACAGCACACACAGTGAAATTTGGCCTCTGCATTTAACCCATCCTAGTACCAGGAGTCTAGTACTAGGAGCAGTGGGCAGCTAGTGTACAACGCCCGGGGAGCAATGGGAGTGAGGGGGGGGGGGTGTCCGGTGCCTTGCTCAAGGGCACCACGGCAGGGCAGGAGGTGAACTGGGACCTCTCCAAGTAGCAGTTCACACTCCATATTTTTTAGGTCTGGTCAGGGACTTGAACCGGCAACCCTACAGCTCCCAGTCCAAGCCCCTACTGACTGAGCCACTGCCGGACTGCACCTCATGGTCAATACAAATCACTGCTGCAAGCTGGGTTTTTCTTCTTCTGCGGGGTTATCAGTGATTGGCAGGAACACTAAAATAGAAAAAGGAATCAGCAAATATAGGAGAGAAAATTAGTGAATCAGGATTTTAAAGATAGTCATTTTAAAACAGAAATTAGGCTTTGACATCTCAAGTGCTTGTCTTGTTTCTCAGTGAATAGACACTCAGCAGGATTCACTTCCTCAGATGGAGGCCGAGGAAAGGGAAAGTCAAGGAACTGACACCGAACCACCCCCCTCTCCTGCACGCATGCACGCACGCACGCACGCACACACACACTTTCTCTCTGCCCAACACTACACCGCCCAACTGTCTCTCACCATGTTATCAGTGCAGGAAGAGGCAGGGTGGTGCATTCTGATGTGGCTGCACACGCTGGATGACTCTTGGCAAATGTATTGTAACTGAGTGTCTGTAGTTACTCACCTCACCTTTAAAGGTCTTCTATCATGCAAAATGCACTTTTTTATGTCTTTAATATGTGTCCCCGGTGTGTCAGGGTCAGAAAACAAAACCCTCTCTCTTTTCCTCCGTACCCGAATCTCTAAAAACGTGGGTACAACGGAGCTGATCCAGATTTGCGTCCAATATGACGTAATATCAGAAATGTGGGATGGCTTTACACCCACAGCCCTATTAGAAACATCGCTATCAGAAACAATGCAGAACGTGTTTTGGACGTAATATGGTCTTTGTTTACATTAGCAAGCATCGCTAACACTCAGAGCTAATGCTGTACTGGAGAGAGTATGTGTAAAAAAGCAGGAAATAAAAAAAGGAACTCACCTTGTGGTAAACCTGCAAGAAAATAAGCATTCGAGCTCCACACTTTTTCAGAAATAATCATTGATGTGGTCTTGAAGATGATTTGGCGTTTCATCACGGCAGCATTTAGGGTAGAATTCTGAGCAGGCATAAGCCCTCCCCCTCTTTCTTTAAATATTTGTTTTTCAATTAGCTAGGGACCCAGAATCAGCACTTCTCTAACAGGCCTGAAATAGAGGGGTATGAGGCATGGCTAAATGGGTGATCTGTTTGGTATTTTGAGCAAAACACTTCATAGACATGTTTTTTATATATTTGTATATATCTGAGACCAATAATATATGCCTAAAAATAGTAGGAGACGTTTAAGAACACAAATTGCTGGACATCAGCGTACACCAAGTCCAGGTTCAAGCTGCTTTGCTCAGCCTTGATTTGGCCTTTCAAAACGAACGCCAGAGGGCTGAGTTTGAGGCGATGCTGCACTGAAGTGGACAATAGAATAAAAAGGGTGGGACTTCCTGGCCCCAGACAAGCAGGTCAAAGGTCATGCATGATGCGTACCTTGTTTTGTAAACCTGACCCAAAAAACATGATTTACATTGTAAAGATCAGACAGTGTATGCTTGAATAATTAACTATTGTGATATTACAGTCCTCAACAGCCATTTAGGGCCATTCACCCTGACCTAATGAAACAAAGGCCTGCAACAGGCGACTGTGTGAAGCAAGTGTGCCGTGAGTGTGCACGCAGGATGGCGGGCAGCTACGACAAATGGACAGTGTGACCCATTATCAGTTGATTAGGGGGCAAGTCTCGCCTTTTCCTGTCAGTGGTTCTGTATTTGCGAGCGTACAACCGAGGGAATAACAGCCCCTAATGCACTTTGGCACCGACTTCAAAAGGCCGACTGTCAGGAAAGCTAATCTGTATCTTTTTCCCCCCTTCATTCTTATGTTTTGACAATAAAGATAGCCTATCTCATCCCATTACACACTGCCCGTCTCCCGCCTTGTCCCCGATATGCCCAACAGCCAGTCCAATAGTGTGTGTTACCCAATGGGACTGCTGCGACACTTTGATTGCACTGCTATCAACCTTTATATTTTGCTGAAGGGAGGTGCTATCCCAATGTTTCTCCAACTAAATCCAAGATTAAGGAATATGTCAGGTTGTTACTTGCTGTCTGTGTGAACAATGTACCTCAAATCCAGTTTGCTTTACTTTCTCTAATAAGCCAATAAAAATCACCTGGCTTAAAAACAACTTTCAAAAGTAAAACTTGGCATTGTTTCTTTTAAACTCAAGGATACTTTTAGTTTGGGGAGAGCACTATACAAACAATTTTAATATATTACAGTAATTGTTTATATTTACTTAGCATTGTTCAGCAATGGCTAAGTGTGCTGTTCAAGTTGTTCCCCAAAGGAATTTGGTGAATAATGACTGGCCCTTTTGAACTCAAAACTGCTTCTTCTTTCAAGACAATGATAATGCACAAACTTCTTTTCTACACACCTTATATCTGGCTTACATGTTTCCTCAGAGGGTAACCATTCTCCAGATGTGCAAGTAATGTTACAGCGACCTTTGAGTTCATTTCCTCTCGGCAAAGGAAACGCAGTGCAAAACAAAATCTAATCCAAATAAACTTAATTAAAACATCCAACAAAACAAAACAAGAAATGCAAACAAAAATCAAGAGGGAGAAATTAATCAGAGACTGGGTTTTCTTGAACTGACTTCAGAAAAATTAGATGAGGAAATGAACAATAGGCAAGGAAAAGGGATGGTAGAAAGGAGGTGGGTGGTGGGGACGTGAGGAGTGAATGTGAGTGGATGTGGCTTCTCCTCCTGATTTGCAGGTTCTAATCTGGCAGTTGCATCAGAGTGGGGAAAGCGTGGGCTATGACTGTAGTGGCGTCGCGGCTGGACACTGCTGACAGACAGGCCAAAATATGGCTTTCTTCTGCCGCTGATTAAAGAAGTGCAACAAAAGGGTGGAAGGACACAGAGGACAGACGCCTTCACCATCACACCCACCACAGCAGATCAAAAGTAGTGTAGTTAAATTAAATGAAATGTAGCGGCATTAGCAGTGAAATTCATCTCGATCCAAAAAGGACACAAAGCAGTTAAAAACACAAGACGGTTTTTATTGCCTTTTGCTCTTAAAACAATGTCCATCAATCGGAAACATTAAGGTAAACAAAACTATTTTTTGTAATCTTTGAGAACAACTCTAAAGAATTTATTTTGTCTCAACCGTATCACATTGAAATTGTTTTAATGACTGTTAAAAAGAGTTAACATGTGAAGTATAGATCCCAAAATGCCCATAAATAATAAAAAACAAAAAGAAAATTCCCGAAGAAAAGTGAAATAATTAAACCTTAGAGTGCTCCATATTTATTATACATAATACCTGACCAGAGAGAGACTACCCGTACACAGAGGCTGGTGTTGGGTTTAAGAGACACTGTCCTCTGCTGGTCAAACCAACAGCTAATAACCTGCTGATACAGCAGCAATGGCAAACGGTGACACAGGGTCACCAACACATTTAAGAGGATGAAATACAGCTGATAAACATAAAAGCATTTAGGTAAGAATAAAAACACTGGAAATGCTTGCATTGGTGGTGGTCACATTCACTTTTCAAAAATATTCTAGAAACTATTCTGAGCTTTCTCAAAGAGGAACGAGATGAACAAATACTTCACAAAAAATAAAAATAAAAGCACTAAGAAGACTTAAAAATTACTTTTGGTAAAGTTAAATGTTGTGCGTTTACCTTTGAAATATTGCACTTCTCCCCATAGATTCTTTATTCACAGTTTGATTGGTCAAAAGGCAGAAGTTCCTCCTAGTGAGTGTCACTTGACATTCAAAAGTCTTGCATAAGACAAAGTGTAAAGCTTTCTTTTTAATGTACCTTTGTCAATGTATGAGTAACCCTCAGACTCAGTAAATGTACTGTCATCTACTAAAGTATAAAAACCCTGATTAATAATCACTGCAGCAAATGCTTAGTTTTGCTCGTAAACTGGGTTTATAAAAATAGCTCCAACACTAATATCATAACTCCACTCACATATTCCCTGTGTAACCTAAAGATCCATAGATAGACAAGGTACGTTGTGTCCTATTTGTTCCCAATAAGCCTTTCCTCTCATTTACTAACATAACACCGGTGCAGACTGGACAACCAAACACAAGGAAGTAAGATTCCCAATCTTAAAATAGTGGTACAACCAGAGAGGGAAAAGCGTGGGGAAGCCACAGAGAAAGAGAGAGCGCTCAAGTGACCTGGAGCAGGAAGAGGAAATTAAGTCATAGTTACAATGTAATATTTCAAAATAACTCTGCTGACTTTCACATGTGTCAACTAAACCACCACTATCAACTGGATCCTCTTTTTATGAAGCACCAGGCTTTGTGAGGGGGACTGCACATTTATTGTCCACTATGGCAAGACTGCCGGTATGGCTTAAATCCCTTTTCCCTAGTCTTAGTCTTAACCATGACTCAGCTAACCGCAAAAAAAGAACTGCACAATATCAGACCCTGATGTATTGGTCAACAAACACAGCAGAGCTCCCACTGGACACGGAGACTTGTCACCTTCTTGGGTTTCTTCACACTGGGCGCCCTGTCCCGTGTACCAACTGGCAAACCGACTGAACTGCAAATGCCTTTAATCCAATAGTTGCACATTTTAAGTGGGTGAGTTCAGGAAAGGCAGTAGTGAAGAGGAAAAGTCACTGGATTTTAGACAGTCCACTGGCCAGGAGGAGCCTGAAGGGTACGGTCGAGCGTGACACAGTTAAAGGCAATCTGTGGAGACCTGAAAAAAAAAATGAAGGGCTTTAACATCACGCACACAGTGGAGCACTTTACTTGCAAAGCTAAGAAAAATACTGATTTAGGTTGAATTGGAGTCTATTAATCACAGAACAAAAGTAGGTTGGGAGGCAATGGGAAAGTGCAGGAGAGCTGCCATGGTGCAGAGATGCTATCTATACTGTGAGGAAGGGGAATGTGTGCATGTGTGTGTGTGTTTGGCGTGTCCAAGCTCCAAGCACTTGTTTGTGTTGGGTGGAGGTAGTGGGTGTGTGTGCTGCGAGGGGTCCAGGGCGGTGTGCCTAAAGGTCCCCAAGGAGACCTGACTCTCCTCTTGTCCCCTTACACTTTCCTGAAAGAATTGTATTCTTTCTATCTGAGGAAGAGAGACCAGCCCATCGGGAAATGGGGCCAAAGGTGGGAAAACGTATGATACGAGTGCAATGAATTTCAGTAACACAATGTCACACAGAGAAATATATGCATATAGAGCACTTTGATTTGCTTGAAAGAATAAAATAAAACTTAGACTGACCAAAGGCACGGATGAGCTCTCGCTGCACGGCCCAGGTTACGGTGTTGATCAGGGAGGCCGAGGTGAGTCCAGCAAACAGCATGTTGTACATGAAGACAATGTAGAAGTTCCCGAGCCAGTTATACCGACCAAAGTCTCCCAGTAAATCGAATCGGGTGATCCCTGATGGAAGATAAGCAAAATAAAATGTTCTGCTTGATTAAACTGCTTAGCCCTCAGCTAAAGTTCTCATGGCATACAGATGCCCTCTTGTGGGCATTACTAAAACTACGAGTAAAATGTTGAATCAGCAAGCTCTGTTGCCATGTTTTATATATAGAAAAAAATACATATTACATTTAAGCCAATTCATCGAAAAGCTTAATTTTAAAATCCAAATAGTAAATCAAACTATTTGGATTTTAAAATTAAGCTTTTTGATGAATTGGCTTAAATGTAATATGTATTTTTGTTTCAATTGTAAAGCACTTAGTAAATGCGGTTGGAAAGGGGTTTAAAGTTATTATAATTTTTATTGTCAAAGGATATTCCTTTTAAATTAAATAAATCTAAACGAAAAAGGACATTTTTCCACAGATTAAATACTGCTTTTTAGGTTTTCAACGACCTCCTTTGAACTGTCTCACAATTTGTTTTACTTTAGTTTTGTGCATTGCCTTGTGGAACAATAACAAAACGGCACTCAAGTATCAAAAATGTTTTTTTATGCATCCTGAATATTTTGTAAACTTCAATATTCCACTGTAAAGACACCACATACTCAAAACCGTCTAGAAATCAGTATGATATATAGAACTGTGACCTGTCTGTAGTCTTATATAGACACATTTCCTTACCAAGAGTGCGTGAAAAGACTGGCAGTGCTGAGCTCAGGATAAGAAGTGAAACGCAGTTTCCGATTATCTAAAGAAAAAAACAGGAATGTTGAAGTTACTATGAGGAATAAACACATCACTCGTATACCTCACTATGCGATAAAATGCATGCAAAGGTTAGCTTTCATTTACCTGTGTGAGGTTGGTGTCCTGTGCACGAGGCATGAGGCTAGTGAAAAGAGGGGAGCTGTAGAAGCCCACCACTGAGGACACCATCAGGTAGCTGACATTCATTTTAAGAAAAACACTGGAAAGAAGACTACAGAGATAGAAATATCCAAGCACATTTTGAATGCTTATTAAATGTATGGATGGAACATCATGAGTAAACATAACTCGCATGTCAAATATTAATGGTAGTCTGTAAATGGCTGAGTCAGAGCCAAAGGGGACATATAAATAATAAAAGGATACAGAATGAGGACTACTTGAACTGCAGCGCCCAGCGCGCCGAACATGGAGAAGGAGGCCATCCCCAGGTGAGGGTCCTAAAAGACAGAAAGATAAACAACCATCAGTGTACACAAATGACTCAGTGTAGCTCACCAAGCATCTTCACAGGCTGTTTCTGAATAAATCCTCACCTCCATTCCTCTGGGCATAGCAGTCTCATCCAGGAGCAACTCCAGCACATTGAAACAGACCATCAGTACGCACATCACCTGAAAAGACACAAACAGTAATTATACAATCATTAAAAACAACCATCTTTGTGAAAAACAGAGTTAAAACAGGCAGTAAGAATACATAAAGAAATGGTAGGGTACCGTCAATGCGAGCAGCATAAGCATGGCCAGTGGATATCCCAGGTTTCGCTGCCATGGGGACGCTTTCCTACGCATTTCTGTGAGGTAAGCCAAAATAATAAAATAGAAAGAACCAACAATAAAATTAGTGTAAAGCAACATATTGCTTTACAATGTAAATCAGTGAGATAAGCCTATCAGAGAGCAGCTTGGTTGAACAGTCTTACCCAGGGCAATGCGCTTGCTCCGAACTGTCTGATGATCTTTTTTCATTGCCTCCAAGTTCAGCTTGACCCAGCATGACGCCGATCCGCCGTCTTCAACCGGACACAACATCACATAATAAAAACGAACAGTCAATCACTCCGCTTTAAATGTGAAGAAAAAGGCAAATGTTTATGGTGACACACTCACAGTTCAGTTTCCTGGAGAGCGAGTCTTCCTCGAATGTTGTACAGTTCAACGTTTCTTCTACATCTTCCAACAGCTAAGGGATATAAGAGACATCAATCGCTATGGAAACTACAGTTTACAGCCACAAGATGACTGTTAATATAAAGACTACTCTATGCAAAGTGGGAAGTGTAGTAACTGTGACTCACCCGCGGTTTGACCAACAGGCTGCCAGTGACACTGAACATTCGGGACAACCCAAAGGGAGTGCACACTGAGGAGGGAAGCACACAGATGGTGATGTGAAAGTGTCATATGTCATAGCCTTTAGCTGCTCAAGTCATTGTGATTAAGACATACTTACACAAGAGCAGCAACACTCCAAACAGAGAGATGCCAGAGTATAGGTAGGGAAGGTAATACTCCCACAGGTCTGACATTTAGAAAAGGAGAGCAGCTTTATTAAACTGTAAAACCCATTGTTACACAGGGTTCTTCAGGTATAATGCGTGTGACTCACCGTAGAGGCTCTTCCTGGCGATGTTGTCGTGGAGGAGGGCCGATGCCACCCACACAATGCCCAGCACGAGCAGAGCCAGCAGCAACAGCAGCACAACGGCCTCATACACTCGTGCCATAACACCCTACACAAACAAAACACATACTCTGTGATGTGCAACAGAACAATAATAGCCAACTTTTCTTTTTTTTTGATAACTGTATATTCATCTTATGTTATGCGTAAAGGCAATCAAATCTGTTTTCAGCCTCTCAAATATAGAGATTTACTGATTTCCGTGTTATAGGTTATTTTAAACTGAATACACAAGACTTCACCTTGGATTTTCCTGAGATTTTATACAATAAACTATATCAAATAAACAACAAAATAATCCACATAGTAATCAATAATGATAAAATATGTCAAGTTGAATTTTCTGTTAAGTCTTTATTATATGGTTCTGGAGTCTAGAGGTGCAATTGATGATTAAATGCTGAAGGCAGTACCTTTCTGGACCCTGCAAATCCCTCAGACTCGGTGAAGAAGTAGGCAAAAGGCATGAGGAACACCAGCGACAAATTGGAGAAAAGGAAAACTAGGTTCCACAATCCTGATGGAGAGAAAGAGAGATGTTGTGTCAGTTTTCCGTGCACACATTCTTTAATCATAAAAGGGCTGTGACATGGCATTTCAGCAGTACCACTGCCAACCACTGTGAGGTATAGTCCTACCAAAAAGAATAAAATATCAAAACATTTGTGAAAATATTTACATTCAATTGTTTCTCATATGAATCAACACTACAGGCCTCTTTAAGTTTGTGTGCGTCAGGATCAGTTGAAAGTAAAACAGTAATTATACGGAGTCAAAGGGCTCGGCAGAGGTCAACATGAGCAGTTGTGAAACAGTTTGAACATGCACTGCTCTGCCCACAGCAAGGTCACAGACACTCAGTCCATAATAATTATCTGTTTGGACACAGGCCTGCACAGTGTATTGATTTGGAGGTTATTATTAGTGATCCTTAAAGGGGAACACCACTTAAATTATAATGTGTTTTGTCCATGGCCTAGGAAAGTTAAATCAATGCCTACTGCTGTTAGACAGTTTTTCATGAATATTAACCCTTAGGTGTTGTTGACTTAGACAAACATTAGGGTGTACCGTGGATGAGAGATCCGTTGAGCCACTGCATGTAGTAGCTCTGTGGGAAGGTGAGCAGCACCTCATTGGACAGAATGGAGATGGGGAGAAGGAGCACAGCACACACTGCGACAGACAGGGTGAACGTGCACAACCACAGCCTGGAAGAAGGAGAAAAACAAGCCATCAGTGAAGTCACAACTGTTTTTGTGTTTAGCCTAACAGCCAAGGTGAAAGGTTGACTGAGATAATACAGCGCCAGCGTGTAGGGACAAAGGGCAGAATGACACCTAAGTGCCCTCATCCCAACCAACACGCCAGGGCAATAAAACTACAGCCCAATTACCTCAGCCCACCAGACGTCACCCTGACTAATGTGCTCAATCATTCACATGGACACAATTATACGAGTGAGTAAAAACAGATTGCTGTTAAGCAGGCAATTATTAAAAAGGGCTTTACTTACGCAATTTTGTTGACGGTGGCATCTTCGACATCATCTGAAAGAGAGTAGAGAAATAAGTTGTATTCAATATATTATATAAGTGTGATTTATTTTAAATTTTTTGAAAAGGTGCCCAATCTATGTTTTAACTAGACACATGATTAAAACTATATGTTGCCACAGATATAGCCAACTTATGTGTTTTTGAGCAGGTGTTAGTAAAAGCTTTTGGGGCAGTGTGTGTAAACTGTATATACATAGATATATAGGGAAAAGGTGTAGTAGCTTCAGTCTCTATGCAGGATAAAAAGGGTCTCCCTGGCCTCAGAGTGGGGAGTTAGTGGGGGCGAGCATGTTAGGAACATTTTGTTCAAGCAAGGCCAACTTTCACTAGTGAAAAGTGCAAAACATATGAGCAGGAAACTGCAAAGAGAGAAGTATTTGTGTGAAAGGGAGCAGTCTCTAAATGTTACTATGTGCCCAGAGCACTGTAAAGTATTACAAAACCTGCTATACATCTCTAAACTTGTGCTCCATAGAAAACATGCAAATGTTGGCACAGTTTTCTAATAATGACAAAAAGCCTGAGGAGCAGAAACCAGTTCTTGGCTCCTTATTTTCCCAAACAAGTCAGTAGAGAGGGATTGCACAATCGGCATTTAGCTGCAGGGTAAAACTGTCCTGCTGTTGTTGATGCAAAGATAACATTTACAACAGTGGGCTAGTACATAGCAGGTCCCCCCCTCAAAAAAAGAAAAGATCTGGTCATATCCCAGGATTTTAACTCAGCCCGGCCTCAGTCGAGCAGAGAGATCTTGCAAAGGATCCAACATCTGCTTCCAATAATGGAATATTATTTGATTTGTTAAGTTTCTGGCAGCCAATTCCCCCTGCAGAACTTTAAATATTTTCTTAGTTTTAATAATCGAGAAATAACTGTAGATACAAATACGCAAGGCATGTTGCATTAATGAAAATGCTTGTCAGTAAAAATGTGTTAATTGGCATTACTGTGATGACCACACAACATAGTTGTTACAACTGTCAAAAATAAAAGAAAGCAGTAAGTGAAAGTAATGTGAGATTAAGCCAGTTTTGGGATGCTGATGGTTGAACACTGAACAGTATGTTAAAAAAAAAGTACTTTGAGATCTTTCTCTCCTCGTAGTAGCAGAGTATGTTGCTATATGAAACACAGTTGTACTTTTGAGTTGTTGTAAAGCCTTCAAACATTAACTCCAAAGTGCAACTGTTTTCCATGTAGCAACATTTTTCAGCGCCCCTCCACCACCCTGATCAGCAGGGATACCCCCTGAAGACACAGTACAGGTTACAAGACACACATTCTTCCCCTCTGGAATGCTCCAGCCAAGGTCCAGAGCCTTGGGTTAAAACGTGCATGCCTGGCATTGTAACTTTCAACGTAAGCTCTGTTAACAATAGCTGTTTTTCAAATATACAAATGTGTATGTATAATACAATAATTCAAAAGTGTGGCGATATCAGGAACGTTGATGAAACTGAGTAAGGTTTGGGAAATAGCAAACATTACTCAGTCGTTGCGTTGCTTTCCTGAGATTCATCTAGCTTTAGACCCTGCTGCTGCTGCTGTAGCCGTAAACTCAGCCACGAACTATAAATAAGAACCGATTGACACAAAATAGAGAAGTGGTGTTTTAACAAAACCTGGGCTTGCTTTGGCAAACGTACTCTGTGGAAGAAATTCCAAAACTCAGATGTAATCACTCTACTTGTCAACACCATCAATTCACCCCCAAGCTATTCTACATAAGCCTTTGAAATAAATCTTCTCACAGAGCAGTCTTTGTGTGGTGCACCTGTTCAAATCCAGGATGAGTCATATTAAAAAACTCACCTGTGATAAACTCTGCAGTCTTCTTGAAGTGGGTAAGTATGAGGTAGGACACTATGTAAAGGCAAGTAAACAGGAGCACACATATCTGTAGAAAGACAGAAAGAAGAGATAAGGTTATTTATTTTACTCGTTTAAACAGCTAATCGCATAAAGGAAATGCAGCAATAAAAACAAAGAGTCATGTTCTGCCCAATACTTCTGATAAGCAACACATATATTCAGGCTCTCTGGTGTAGGATATTCTGATAGTTCTTAAAAGAGGGGGTTGTACACGGCACAAACACTTATAGAATAAGAGGAAAAAGATAAGAGGAGAGGACATGGCAAGGACACGGTCAGCTTCAACAGTTTGTTCTTTCATAGTTTATTCTGTTGCATATAAACAAACAGGCAGAAATATTTTTAATAGATGCAAACAGCCCAAAACATACACCATTTTGCACGGGTCACAAAAGACAGATGGAGGCTGCAGATTACCACTTGCTCCCAACAAAGAGTGAAATGGGTGACAGTGATGAACTCGGGGGGATTAGGAGAAGCAGAAGAAAGTAGGGTTTATACCCGTGACAGATAGACCCCATGCTGCTTGTAAAGATCATCATCTGACATTGCTCCAATTCTGCTAACAATTTAGACTAAACCTACATTCACTCAGTAATCAGTTGTCTGGCAAAGCTTTTAACCTTTCAACCCAAAATACTGAAGTAAACTGCATGCATGACAACACAAAACATGATGGAACAGATACCTTTGGATACAAAATAAATCTTCACATCTTTCAATTTAACTTCAGCTTTGTCCGTTCCATGCACCACGGGTGACAGTATGTAGAACACCTTGTTGTTGCTCAGACACACATTGTATGATTACAAATTAATAATACAATATTTCTAAACCTTGTGTACCTGTTAGGTAAAAAAAAAACATGCCGTCAGAGCAAAACAATTCACAGATGCACCCCAAACTAATCTGGGCACAATGTTCCCCTTACTCGTTTTCAACATTAATAGCAATCTTAACAAGACTTAAATCCTTTTGCCACACTTCGTGCCCCACTAGGCCATAGCACTTATTTTAAACAAAAACAACAAAGTCATTTCATAGATAACTTTTCAGTTCTATCATTACTCCTACTGGTCAAAATGGTCCTTGTCAGCAAAATCTTAATTCTTTACTCTCTTTGCAGCAGGCATTTTGGGAAACCAGTTCTTAGCTAGTCTAACTCAGCTCTATGTTGCAAGCCATGTTAGTAGGTTAGTATGTTAGTTGTGTAAGAGAGTGCAAGTTACAATTATGTGAAACAAGGATTTAAAGTATTTTCAAAAAGTAAAATAAACCAATGGCATGTAGTGTAGCCTGCTACCTATAAGTATTACTATTAGTTGTCAAAGAACAGCTGAGGCTGGACTGTTTTCCTACATATTTTATCCATTCAATAGTTGAGAAGCAGTTCACAAAAGTGTTGGACTGACAGTTGAATGAAGTGATGTTGCCAGATCAGAAATTATTTCCACATGGCAACTTAGAAGTCAGTAAGGGTAGCAGTAGTAGAAGTTTGCCCTTGAGGTCAGAACAGCAAAAGCAAACAAAGAGAGTGTCTCTGTAGGAAGACAGAAATGTGATGACATACTTACAGGTGTAACACGCTTAATGCTTAAATGGAAGACTTCATGGAAGAACAAAAAGCCTACAGATTTATTAGCATCGGGTTTCCATTAAAGTGATGTTGCAATGGAATAGTTCAATACATGTACTGTGAACAATAAAAATACCCTCAACGGTATAGAGGGCCTCGCAATACTATTCATGGTGAGACAGTGTGCATTTAAATTATGTTTCCACGCTCATTATAAATTGGATCCATGGGACATATGGACATGTTACAATAACAATGGAGTTGGGGTGCGGGCTTACACCCCTCCTCCTGTTTGGCTCAAGGAATTGCAAGAGTTTGACCCACTTTACAATGTAAACAAAGACTTGTTGAATAAACTATCTTATGTAAAACCAACATAAAATCTGTTGAGAAACAGTGTAAGTGGGCTGGATCGTCAGAAATATACCAGCTGTATCACACAAACAACAACGGCTGTAAAACTAACCAGCTCAGTCTGCAACATGATGCAGACTAGTTTGGTATGTTAAAAAACAAAGGGAAAAGCAAAGGATGGGTTTGGGGTGAGAAATATGTGGATGAGTAGAAAAACACCCCTTCAGTCCACAAATATGGGGACACGTGTGCGCTGACAGGCAATGTTGAGAGCTGGGTGAACCTAGCAGGCCATAGAGTTTAAAAAGAGTCCAGCATCCAGATGGATATCTTTTAAAATTCACAGACTGAACTAAACATCTTTGTGCTGATTCAAGCAAAACACAATAAAGCTCAAATGATTTCACATCTTGCATAACCTCATATTTCCTGTTATAACTCAAAGGAATAGGAGGTTGGCAGTGTCACAGCACACCCTTGCTAAGTGTCGAGTGGAGTCCCTGAGAATTTATTATTTCAGGGGCGCCCAGCTAAACACGTTCAGGCAAAGTATGACGATCTTTGTTTATAACTAAGAGGATAGATTAGGCAAGTCCTACTCAAGATTTATTCAAGAGCCAGAAATAACTTCAAATCATGCACAGGCAAAGCCATCCTAATCCAAAAGAAGGTGGTTGGCAGCTGTAGTTTGTTGGGATCATTTTACTGAACCACATCATGCAATATGTGATAGATTAGTGATTTTGATTTTGTTATTGAGAACAGAAAAAGTATAACAACAGTGAAAGTGTGCTTAGATTTTTCCCACAAGCACAGCCATAATACATCAGATAACATGGTACTCAACCATCTTTCATGAGTGTGATGTGACTCGATATCTTAAGGTATTCTGATGCTGGGCGTTCCATGGATACGTATTGTTACTTTATATTCTGCTGATAACTAATCCTTCTTAATCCCTCGCGGCTCAGGCGTTGGCTATGGGAGTGTTCTCCTGGCTCTAATGTGAACACCATCTTACCATGACGATGTATCTAGACAAATGTACACCTGTTAACTTGCTAGATGCTCTGATCCAAGATGATAAACAATGGTGCTTGAACAATGTTAGCTAGTGAATAAAGACGTTTGGCCTTAATCCAATTTTCCCAGCATTTGGGGCCACATTTGGTCAATGTATTCATTTTAAACAGGGGCAGCTGACAGGGCGCACTGGGAGGAGATGGTAGCTGTTGGTCAGCCAGGGGATTAAGAAGGATGTGTGGACTAATAGCATTAGGGGAAAGGGACAATGACAAAACAAGGGCATAAGACTACCCATGAGTACTTTATATGCTGCTTGTGTAAAGTTGATTACACACAAATGAAAATCTCTCTGCTACTCCGAGTACTATTTGACGTAGGATTGTCTAGACTAGAGCATGTGTCAAACTCAAGGCCCGGGTGCCAAATCATTACTATTATTATTAAAATGTATTTCGGCCCGCAGGATAATTTTTTAATTACTATTAGATATGGCCCGCCGGTATATTGCACGCACACCTTCACTCAATCCTGAGGATTTGCTCAGCTCAGAGCCTGAGCCCAAACGTTGATGAACTTGCACCCAAGATGAGATGCCAAGTATCTGAACTAGCATCACAGAGCAGCACACTGAGTTTAATGGATGTTTCCTTCTGCACTTTTTGACTGCTTGTGACAACAGGGCATGTTTAGTTTTTTCTTTGAGGGGAATTGTTTTTTTTAAGCTGTTGTTGGCCTGTGGAAAAATGTAATCATAAGAAATGACACCGGAAAAGCTGCAGATAGAGCCATAAGAAATTAAAGCAACTGATTATTTAATGTTGTTTTTATAGGCAATAATTTAAGCTTTGTTAGTCCCAATAAGTTCATTTCAATAAGTTTTGCAATAAACATTGAACTAGTCCGGCCCTCGACTTGTACCGATTTTTTAAATTTTGGCCCACTGTGTATTTGAGTTTGACACCCCTGGTCTAGAGGATGTAATCAGTTCTGCCTGTGATACCGCATGTTGGCAGATTCAGTAATACCTTGAAAATAAAAATCCAGGAAGGCAGAAAGCTAACCAAATCACAGGTGTTAAGCACTTACTATGGCCAAGTACCATAACCTCCTAACCAATACAATACCAGAACCCTGAAATGGGGACACCTAAACACAATATGAAATGATTGATGTTAATAGATCTGTGGTTTTGCTGCTAAGGAGAGGCTTGCTCTGCAAAAGGCCTTTTGGCTCCACTAGTTATTTTATTCTACCTTAGTCTTCGCTTTTATAATGACTCAACCTCCTTATCGGATCATTCATTTTCATTTACATCGTACATCGTTCACCCATTATGTACACCCGTTTGCTGGCCTAATCTACACAGAGGGACAATTTGTGTACATCATTTCTTGTAGAAGGCCGTCTTGTACAATTTGAGCTTTTAATTATACATTTACAAGGGCAAATTGATAACATGTTTAACATTGTACCGTATGCAACACTGTCAGCAATATCACCAGTCTGTGAAAATACATTGCAATCGGATTGTACTTTTTTAAGGGTTAAAGGTCACAATCCATGTGCCTTGCTGTAACTGTAGTGATCTTTCTTGCAAGTCTGAAGTTCAATAGGCGTTGCACAAACCAGTCAGTCTGTCAGTGTCAAACACAGCAGAGTTAAGAGTAAGATGCATCATTAACAGTATAGTCGAACTGAAAAATGTGAAGTAGGCTGATCCAAACCATGGACATAAGAAAATGGAGATTTGAAAAGAGGTCTGGGACTTCAGAAAAACAAAGGAAGAGCACCATCTATGCTGAGTAAGCTCCTTGATGTTCCTGTGTCACACAATAATGACCAGCTGCCTGCGTGCTTTTATGAACGTTTACAGAAGTTTTGCCAGAAAATTAACATCAGAGTACCTAAAAGTCACGACAAACTTATACTTGTATACTGTTGCACAACGCTGAAAAGGGACACTGTCAACTTAAACTGGAGCGTTGAGCAGTGATACACACTCTAATTAAACGACGTGGCTTTCCTGCCCTGATTATGCAGCTGTTTGCATTGTGAGAGCAGAGGAGACCCCTCATATGCATAATAACTGACGTTTACATTAGCACAGCGGTAACGTTACTTACTATGGTTTCCCGGACACGGTTGTGGAAAAGTTGCTCCCTAACCGACACGTCTTCCGTTTCCATTCTCCGAAACCATTACAGTGTCCTCAGGCTGAGAAGCGCTGGAGGAGAGGATGTGTTAACAAAATTAAAACACGGGGCATCTTGTGAGTAATGCCATGGATGTGTGGCTGTGGAGCCCGGCTGCATTTAAACTGCTGAGTTAGCCCGTGAGCTGCTAGCTTCAGTCACTCGCTGATAAAAGACAAGCAGGGAGGGGTCGTGAAGGGGCGGGGCCAAGCTGAGGGGGGGGAGGGGGGTAGCAGACATGTGTGCAGTTAGATACAGTAGGTACTCGATTGATCCCAAATTGGGAACTTATTTAATTAAAATAATTAAAAGGTGGTAAAATAATAAAATAAAAGTGAAAATAATAAACAGCAAGTAAACACTGTTGCCCATAAAGTTTTAATAATTTGGTTTTCAGACACATTCCTATTTGTATTCCTATCTAATTTTCACTGTGATATGTTTGGAAGAGATTGATTAATACAGTTTTGACAAGTTATACACTTTATCTATCAAGAAAAAATCAAATTGTCACAATCATTTCATGAGAAGAGGTAAAACATATTTTATTCTAACTTTATGGGCAACAGTGTATACAGTAGAATATTCTGATATAGGCTTAGTTTGTCGGGGGACATCTTACTTCTTCCTTCTCTCTGTCTATATCTGTGTACTCTCATGTTCCGATTAACCCAGCTTCCCCAAATTTCTTTCTTTTTGGTGTCTATATACGCCGGGATCCGGAGTCATGGATGATCCTGCGGTCCTGTGTCATGGATCGCGAGTCCTGGATCTTCAGTCGTGGCTGTGGTCCTGGATCATAAGTCCTGGATGGATATCCTCGTGGATTCATCTTCCTATTATACACACATGCATTTCCAAACATTTGGACTACCTATGTTGCAAATGTATTATCTTTTCAATTTACACACGGCATCTATTGCACGTCTGTCCGTCCTGGGAGAGGGATCCCTCCTCTGTTGCTCTCCATGAGGTTTCTCCCATTTTTCCCTTTAAACTGTGGGTTTTCTCTGGAAGTTTTTCCTTGTACGATGTGAGGGTCTAAGGACAGAGGGTGTCGTATTGTCATACTGATATTCTGTACAAACTGTGAAGTCCACTGAGACAAATGTAGCATTTGTGATATTGGGCTATATAAATAAACATTGATTGATTGATTGAGTAGAAAGGAATTATTGTAAAATGTTCTAGATAAGTTAGACTGTTCTATAAAAGACCAACATACTACAGCAACAGAAATAGACAGACTTATATATATTACATTAGCAGAAACATATGATAGTATATAGATTACATTTGTGTAAAGTTGCTGTTGTGCAAAATGTTCATGGTTATGTAGAGGGGGAAACTAAAACTATGGAGCAGTGAGTTCTCTAAGGTAAACGTCCGTCATCAGTGTAATTAATACTGTACGTCAGCATCATCGGTATTATCACACTTATTATGGTATTCATAGTTACATAATTGAAATAGCACAGATACGGATTGTATTGGTCACCACTTTGATGTGCACATGTAGGCTACTGTATACTCAGATCTGAGTGACTACACATGTTACAAGTAAAAGTCATTCAAATAGTTACTCAAAGACAACTAGAAAAGTATTTGCATCTATATATAGCTAATGTATCAAACGTAAAAGTAAATGCAGATTGGCCCATTTCAGAATATGAAATGTTTTGATTAAAAGTATTGATGCATTAGAGTGTTATCATAGCTGGTAAAGGTGGAGCATGTTTTAATATCTTTGTTTAATGCAAGGTAGCATGTGAATTTACTCCAGGTTTAACTAAAGCCTTATTTAAGGGTTGATTATGTATCACACCATTGTTCAGTAAGTAACCAAAAGTATTAAATGTAGTGAAGTAAAAGTAACCATTTACCCCTGAATTGTAGTGAATTACAAAGAAGCAAAACATTGAAATACTGAAGTAAAGTACAAGTCTCACAAAATTGTACTTAAGTACAGTACTGAGAGTAAATCTATTTATTAACTTTACACCACTGTATTTAAGGCATTGATAAATGTTAACAACTGTTGAAGTAGGTCTACTTAATAAGTACAGTGAGTGAAGTCTGCATTTGAGATGGATTTATGTTTTGAAGCACTGAGAGGCAAGTGAGAAAACAAAAAAAACTGTTGATCCATTTTCAAAGTCTATATCTCAATCTCAATTGTTTTCAATCCTGAAGAACAGGTGAAAAAAAAGGTTTTGCTTTGCAAGGATAATCTTTCCAAGTTTCTTAAAAAAAAGTTTTTTTCTCCAATGAGGTATAGGGGGAAATGCTGAAGCAGGGGATTGTTTGTTGTTGCAATATTACTTTCGGCCACAAGATGTTCACCATGAGTTTAAATCATAGGTTTTAATTTGAACCTTAACACATATGCATACTGTGTGTCAGCAAGATATGACATGACAGTAATGTTTTTCTTTTGGCTAAAAATTCATTTTATTGTTGTTAATCTTCTGCTGTTGTTACTATTGGGAACATGGGGTAGTGGTGCACACAACAAAAAAATCTTTAAAAATAAATCTGCCCAATGTTTTGCAATGATCATGGAATACACTTTGTTCCACTGTTCTGAGATCATAAACAAAGGAGAACAATTATTTTTGTGTACAGAGTAACTTAAGATACTTTAAATCACTGTCCTTTCTCGTACACGTGTCCTTTTCTTTACCTTATCACGACCTAAATGGACTCTGACCTGAGTTTCAACAGTCACATTAAATCAATGACTAAATCAGCTTACTATCATCTAAAGAACATAATAGCATTAAAAGACTAATGGCACAGCAGGATTTGGAAAAACTTGTCCATGCTTTTATCTTCAGTAGACTGGACTACTGTAATGGTGTCTTTACAGGTCTCACTAAAACATCTATTAGAAAGCTGCAGCTGATTCAGAATGCTGCTGCTCGAGTCCTCACTAAGAAAGTGGATTACATCGCTCCTGTTCTGAAGTCTTTACACTGACTTCCTGTGTGCCAAAGAATAGATTTTAAAATACTGCTGCTGGTTTATAAAGCTTTGAATGGTTTAGGCCCAAAATACATTTCTGATCTCCTGCTAAATTATAAACCATCCAGATCTCTCAGGTCTTCAGGGACTGGTCAGCTTTCTGTCCCCAGAGTCAGAACTAAACATGGTAAAGCAGNGTGTGCCTTGGCAGTCTCAGTCCAGATCTCTCAGGTCTTCAGGGACTGGTCAGCTTTCTGTCCCCAGAGTCAGAACTAAACATGGTGAAGCAGTGTTCAGTTATTATGCACCAAATATCTGAAACAAACTCCCAGAAACCTGCAGGTCCGCTGCAACTCTGACTACTTTTAAATCTAGGCTGAAGACTTTTCTTTTTGCCGCTGCTTTTAATTTAAACAGAGCTGTTCTGCTTCATTGTTGATGAACATTTAGGGCTAGTAACCCCAGGGAATCAGTGTCTGGGGACTTTGTCCTGGCTGTTTTTTTCTGTGTATGCTGCTCGGGACCTATGTGCCATACAAGCGTACACAGATCATGTTCGGAGAAACCTTAAAGAAAGGCATCAGTCAAATGGAACTTCTGTGTGAACTATTCATATCTTAAACTGCACTGTAACTTTGTATTCATGTACTTTTTATTCATATAGTTCACACAGAAGTTCCATTTGACTGATGCCTTTCTTTAAGGTTTCTNTTGTTGTGTGTGTGTGTGTGTGTGTGTAGTGTGTGTGTGTGTGTGTGTGTGTGTGTGTGTGTAGTGTGTGTGTGTGTGTGTGTGTGTGTGTGTGTGTGTGTGTGTGTGTGTGTGTGTGTGTGTGTGTGTGTGTGTGTGTGTGTGTGTGTGTGTGTGTGTGTTTGTGTGTGTGTGCAGAGAAAGAATGAGGGACACAGAACAATTGGGCACTCACATATCTGACACTGGTCCTTATTTGGCCCCCAGCAGTAATCTCCACAAGCTTTGTGGCAGGGGCCTGAGATAGAGGGAAAGAGAGGCATTACGTAAGAAAGAGACCAACTAGAGATTATTTGGGGACGTGTGTAATAGGACTATTCTAACACCGACCTCTCTCTCCATTGAACTGGATTTCAATAGGAGCACTGTTGTCCCTAATGATATCTTGCCAGAAGATCCAGGGGCCATAACTCAGGTATTTGTTGTTGATAATCTGCACTCCTCCCTCCAGAATCTCTGTGAAGAAATGGTGAGACATTATGCTCAAAGAGAGAGCAGACAGGATATGTTAAGCAGACACTTCAGATAACGAACATGTTACACACTCCATGCTTCTGTTTCATCTCTAAACCCTCTTTTACCTGTCAGATTTGCGAGTCCTAGCTGCCGCAGGCCGTTGGAGCCGTCCTTGGGATAGTTAAAGAAGACAGAGAGGGCAAAGCGTCTCTCGTAAAGGCTGTTTCCTCTGATGACCCGAAGTTGGCCAAGAGGAATCTCTTGAAAATGGTTCATGGCAATAAGGACGTAGCCAGTCACCTCTCGGATTGTCTGGAGGGGAAAAAGAAGAGCACACTTAAACACCTTCTACATTTAAATGAGGAGAAAGAAAAAGGCAGAGAGGATTTTTACCTTGAGGTAGGAAAAGTCCCAGTTACTCTCAATCTGAGTGATCTCCAGGTTTCCCATGATGATCTCACAGCCATCATATCGTTCCTTAATCAGATTGTACTGAATCTCCTGAGAACCTGTGGAGCTCAGTCCGTTCTGCGTACCTGAACACACCACTGACATACAAGAGACACACATATTACTCTAAGTTTGACAAAACCAAGGAACACTCAAAGGGTGGTTCAGGGGCAGACTAAGAGAAGTGTATGTATCACTTTTACTTTACGATGTTTAAAGACTCTTTGGATGTTAAGCCTGTTTGCTACATATCCAATTTACTTTATATCACAGCTTATTAAATCTCCAACTATGCCCTTGTATTTTCGCATTTATTTTCCTGTCTGAGTTCCATTCATCTCTGTAATGATTTATCTTATTTAGCAGACAATTAAAGCTTTTTTCATTGTGTGTCATCAAGTGTGTATTTGGTCACAGTTACACGGCCATTGCAACATGATGCACTGCAATAAAATGTGTTGTTTGGACAAAGAATAACATAGACTGTGATGCATTGCTTGATTAAAGCAACATTTAAGAGTTGAGTCTGCTGCTTTGAGTGGTAAAGGAGCTAAAATATACAAAAACACGTGTTTGGTACTTTAAAGATGAACCAATGATGAGTGTTTGAGATTTGGCGTTATTCGGTTTCTGCTGTATTTATGGGCGTGGTGAGTCTAGTCTGATATTGTGTGTGCGCTGCTGTGTTGGCTGGAGAGTTCGATGTGAAGCACAGTAAAACAGGCAGGCTGAATCCCTGGTACGTGAAGCAGGCCTGGGGCTGATGGAGTGGATGGAGGGTCGAGGCAGAGGGGCTTCCTCAGACAAAGTTCCTCATTGTGATAAAGCTATAAATGTGGACTGTGTGTCCCAGTGGCTGAAGAGTGATGCAGTGACAGTGGCTCTGTGTGTGTGCATGTGCGTATTTATGTGTGAGTGTGTCTGCTTTGCTGAGATCATACCCACAGACAATGGGCCGTGTGTGAGTAGGACTTTCTGGCAGAGGGAAGGGAAATATCGTGGACGGAAGGAGACATGCACACCATCTCGTACTCATCAACAAAAACTGTGGCACTGGCCCTTGTGTGCAGAGATAAGACACCTGCTCGTCAACACAAGACACGTTTCCTGTCTTTGTTGAGAATATGCAATGGTGTAAAGCAACACTTAAAACATGTATCACCTCTATGAAATGGTTTGTGTGTGATTTATGGAAAAGTGCAAGTTGACCGATGACTGCATAGCAAAACCCATATCTTTATAGTTATTCATTAATGCATGGGACTGAATATAATAGACACAGCTTATCTAAGATTATTATAATTCAGACTGTTGACACAATTAAAACTCACTTGATGGACTTTCAATTGAAACAATTAGGGTGTTTAACTTTTAGAAGAAAAATAAAATCATCTGAAGATTTCACAAATGAACATGATCAGGGTCCATTGTCCTCAGTAGCTTTTTACAACTGGGGTCATTGCCATGAAGGCTATTTGGTCTCCACTGCTGCCAGTCATCACTAGCAGCATATAAAGTGGTGATATATTGCTGCCTTAAGACTGAGCCTTGATTAGAGCCCATAATAGTAAAAAAGCTCTCGAGCAGGAGAGCACAGTGAGTGCTGTGTGAGGATGGACAAGGGAAAGTAGAGTTGAGGGTTTAGAAAATATAGACCCCTTAACCTCTGATAAATGTAGATTACATCCTCAATTAATGATTTGATCCTTTTCTATTCTAGTCTATTCTCTATCAGTTATCTTTTGTCCTGCCATTCCACAAAATACAGACTATAAAAGAAGCTGTGACCTTTAAAGGCAGCCAAATGCAAAACCAAGTAGCCATTCAAGCAAGACAAACAAAACATCTTTTTTTTTTAAGTGAATGATCAAAACAGGCTTCACACGTGTTCTGATAAGGAATGATAAATCCCCCTACCTTCATGAGTCTGGGATGATGCTGTTTCTAGCCTCCATGATAATGACACACACACAAGTATGACTCCCCACGAGATCATCTTGTCGATGTTGAGCCTATTTAGTTAGATTGTATCACATCACACAGGTTTAGGTAGTCCTCCAGGTAGCCAATGTTGTGTAGGAAAGTGTGGATGTAAACAAAAATAAAATGTTCAGGGCTCCCTCTCTGAAAAAATCCAATATCATTAAATCAAAATAAAGCAGAAATGCAACTCCTTCTTTAAAACGTTTCACAAAACATCAGTAATAAGACCAGATAAATCGCGCCAATTGCAAAACTGAAAACAACGAACAAGTGGCAGTTTATTTTGACGCTCGCCCCCCCTCCCCTAGAGGCACATGTGATTGGCCAGGAGCCCAATATATTGACCAATCAGAGGTTGGTCCGTCGTTTTTTTTACAAGCTAATGCATAAAGTGTTGCATTTAGCATCAAACCGGCTAACATCCTCTTAGATTAAAGCAGAATATGTATAAAGAGATTGTTTTTGTTCCCCTCAACAAATAATGTACCTCACAACGAACACATTAGGAAAATATCAAGCTGAAAAACACTTAAATCCATGCACTTTTACTTACGTCAAAATGACTGCATTTGTGCATACACTAATGATGATATGCAGATTATTATATGGCAAAGAAATGCGTGTGATAAACTTTGTGAACAACGTGGACCCTATATGTCCCTTTATGTGCAGTTATTTTGGTTTCATGTTGTCAGCTGCTGTGTGGAAGCATGTGTGCTGGGGTCTCCCAGTAGCACCCAGTGCAGTGAGTGGCTGCACTGTTTCCCCTGTAAAGAGCACTATTGTCCCCACAGTGCTGTCAACTGGTTAATCACTTCTTTGATGCGTATGGAGCGGCCTGTCACAATGGGCCACATTGTCAGATGGTCAAGTGACTTCTGAACTCTAAACAAGAAAATGCTTAATTTGAGAAAATGGTCTCAAAGCAGACGAGATTCCTGAACATGGAGCAGCAAGTGAAAAGTGGACGACTCAATAATGGATAGATCATCATTAACTGATTCCGACACATGTACTGTTAATCAGATTTTTTATGAGAAACAGATAGAAGAACAGTTACTGTTTGTTAAGAAGTATGGGGAATTTAAAACATATTCAATTGTAATTATTATCTGTTTTCAATGAAAATGTGATTGTATTGTTGATCTCTTGATCCATCTGATATGTTCTTAAAGCCACTATATACAAAAAAATGATGATGATAATGGTTTAAATTAACAGTAATTATCTGTGCATCAGCATGTAATATTAAATGACATTTAAAGCTGTTCTCCACAATCAGTTTCTGTCCAGCAGGGGGAGACAGAGACAGAGGATTCAGAGCTCAGATATCAAATCTGTCTCAGGGCCAGGAGGAGGACTCTGGCCCTGTTTGCACCTACAATGATGGTTTTACATAAATATTCTTTGACCCATTCCAATTCATATTTTATTAAAATCAACTGAGACTCGTCCAGTTGCCTCTGTAATGATGCAACACTTTGCAAAACATTGCTCAGTATGTTGGAAAACATTTTCACAACTTCATTCAATTAAATAACATCTGTGTGATTCTTCCATTCTTGCTCACTTAAAAAGTATAAAGTGAAAATATCAGTGGGAATGAACAGATAAGTGTTCAGGGATTATTTTTCACATTCCCTATTGTCAGGGGCTCAGGGCAAGAAAAGTGGCTTCAATAAAGGCCTCCATGGTTTCTGCAGTCAGGCAGTTTTGCGTCGCCACCATGGTGTCCCCTTCAGTGTCCTCCTCAGTGTCCCCCTCAGTGTCAGCCTTGGTGGCCCTGTCCCTTCCAAGGCGGGCTGTTGGGGGGACTGCTGTGGCCTTTTGCAGAAACCACTCCCTTCAGAGATTGATGAATTGATTGTGGGGCTGCTGCCAGTGTGTCTGTGCCCTGGGTGAAGGCGTCCCGGTTACGGGTGGGAATCCCAGCTATGGCATCCGCCCTGGGGCTACTATTGTGGCCGTCCTGCAGGGGGCCCTGGGGGCTGGTGGCCCCGGGAGCAGCTCTGACCCACATACTGCTGTCACACCCCTGGAGACACAGCGGCAGTCTCCCCTACATGGCTCTCGGATTGGCCCAGACTAAATGACTCTGTGTGGAGCACTGCAATTCCACAGGGAAACTACCTGATTGTGCCAAACTTCTTTTGATGGCATGCAGTTAGGAAAGGCCAAAAGAGAAAGACGATAAAGATACATGTTCCTCCCACCTCTTTACCAGGCTCTTTTCAAGACTGTGGCCCCCAGGACCTATTCAACAATCGAGTTTTTCGATTTACTTGTAAGAATGTTTCTCCGGTTTTTCTTTGATAAACAGACACAAATAATTATTTTAGAGTATTTTTTGTATCAAAACAAATGTGTAAGGGATAATTAAATTCTGTTTGATTCAAAGTGGGGAAAAGGCTGAGAACCAAGCACAGTTAAATAAGCACCATCTCATAATGTCTTCACGGAGGAAACAATTAATAACAAGGGAACAATGAGTAAGGCAAAGCAAATGTGTGTTTTTATATTTTTATTGATTGATCCACATAGTGCCAGAAATCATTAAATCATTCAACACTTTTGCACCAGTACGCGTTGTTTTTATTTCCTCCTCTTGATAATATTCCACTCAATTACATAATCCATGTTCAGCTTAAAATAAACCTTATTAGTTGGAATGTTCTGCACTTTTTCTAGTGGATATCCACCAATAGTCATTGAAAGAAGGATGTTAAGCCAACACAGTATAGTGCATCAGTGTTGCAGATCATAGGTGAGATACTCGAATGTTGGACATTCTGACATACAAACCGGTTATCAAAGAGAAAATAAAAACACTGGCATTATAAGGCCACAAAAACAATTTTCACACCAAACTGAACGTAATGCACATCACACACGCAAGCTGCTGTCAGTTATGTATATCTGCCAACACACTGACCCCGAATCTACATGTGTATCAACAAGACTTTCAATTTGACCGCAAATACCATGGTTTACTCTTCTTGTTACATAAACCTATATACAGTTGCGCTGACATAGAAAACCATGCTTTTGCATATTAGAAGTTTGTTTGGTAAACTTTACACTAAATCCATAACATTTATCGGTATAACATTGTTCCAACCAGCAGTATTAATTAAGACAAATATAGTCTGAGGAAATAGGCTATTATAATTCACTTTTATTACAGATCTTGTACAGTATTAACATGCCTTATGATGCAGTATTACGATTATCCTTTCTCATATTTTTTCAAATCATGGGGTTTGTAAAAACACGCCAAAAGACAACTGTATGAGCTAGAAAGCAAATCAGGAAACAACACAAAATCAACACTTGCCTTTTGGTTCAAAATAAATGAATACTCCATTCAAACAGACATTACATTTTGTACAACAATAATGCATCTAGAGATATTTTGTGCAACATAATACAGAGAAACACTAGAAACACAACATTTCACGCCAATCAGGTATGAATAAATCAGGATGACAAGCAGCATGAGTTCTGTTGACGGATATATTGCAGCTGCTCGCACAAACTGACTTAACAAATAAACATTCGTAAACAATGTAAGCTGTCTGATATTGCCAATCACATGCTCTGCTGCATCACTCTCAACAGGCCAATAGCAGTGTTTTTTCTCCCTAAGTCACGGAGCTGGTACGATGTGCCTGTTCTGTCATCTGTATCAGTTCAGCTATCACACCTCGCTGACGCCAGACAAATTGTTTAACCCTTATTTAGCCAGGCACGTCAACTCAAAGTAAATCTGTATTTACAGCAGCGGCCTATAGTTCACACCTTTCACAAGCCCACAAACCAGTACTGGGGTCTTCTCCATCTCCATGCAGACTGGGAAGTAACATACAGTGATACCAGGGCTTATTTTTTCACTAGCTGCCTTAGCAGTAAATGCATATTGCAATAAAGGGAGAGAAACCACACGATGCACTGAGAAAATCAAAACAAATGTAGGAATAAATACATGTCAACAAAAGTATAAATAGTTTAAGAATTTCCTGTTTGTCATCAAGTGTTGTTTCGAATAAAATAAATAAAAAGAATAAACACATTTGCATATAATTATTTTACAGCAGAAAATGAGCTCTGAAGCACATAGGTTTGTGGCAAAACAGAAGTATGGACAAAAAGACAATTTTACATTTTTTAGAACCTGTCTGAGTAAGATGTTTTAAACAACGTTATATTATTCTGAGATAGTAGTAATAGTAGTAGTTCCACTTATACTGTTATGACATTCTTTATAATTTACATAGGTTTAGTGTATCAGATGGGTGCTTTATGAGTCTATATCGTCATTATTCAGAAAAAGTTAAAACGTGATGGAGGTCAAAGAGTCTACAGAGTAGGGGAATGTATATGCTTTTACAGTAACAAATGTACGTATTCAGCATGTAAGTCATTTAGGTCAACACCATTGGTTTGTTATCCTTAAGAAAATGCTCACTCCAGATCCAAACAATTTAAATTAATTATAATAAAAGAAGTGAAACAAGTATTTTGGGGGGAGAAAGCCATTGAGAGTCACCCCCCTGGGGGCTTTTCAGCACAGCCTCTCCATGTAAACTCAATGGATCCACTTAATCCCTAACCTGGGAATGGCACCCAGGCTCTTCCCCACTCCACTGACCTGATACCTCACTTTTTGTTTTTCAGCTGATTGGCCAGCCAGTCCAGGCCCTCGTACAGACCGTCTCCACTGGTGGCGCAGGTGGCCTGGATGTACCAGTTGCGATGGCGTAGGGAGTGTAGACCCAGCTTATCTGTGATCTCTGCAGCATTCATTGCATTAGGCAGGTCCTATAAGGGAATCCCATCAGGTGGGTCAATCAGGAGGTCTGAGTCGGTATAAATGTGCAGAAAGAATTGAATGCAGATGAGGGGAATCGATGGAGGCTATACCTGTTTGTTGGCAAAGACAAGAAGAACAGCATCCCGCAGCTCGTCCTCAGCCAGCATCCTCATCAGTTCCTCCCGAGCTTCGTTTACACGCTCACGGTCATTGCTGTCCACCACAAAGATCAAACCTGCAGGGACAAATAAGTGTATTTTTTAAGGGTTGAATACATTAAAAAGTTATACTGTGCCAGTATCACTTTCCTCCCATGGTTTAACAATATGCTGACGTCATATTGCTTAACCAATTTTTTTTATTGCCAAAGCTTTCAACACAACTAAGCTGATAATAATTTGAAACAGTTGGAGGCTGTATTGAAATGACCTCATCTAAAACATTAGTCAGATATGCCCAGAGTTGCTGGGGGGGAAGTGTGCGATGCAGGATTTGCCACAGGACCCTTTTAACTCCAACATGGCCGACTCGTGCATCACCAGAGAGGCTGCTGGTCTGGCTCACCCTGGGTGTTCTGGAAGTAGTGTCTCCACAGGGGACGGATCTTATCCTGGCCACCCACATCCCACACGGTGAAGCTGATGTTCTTGTACTCCACCGTCTCTACATTGAAACCTGAGTGAAAAGCAATAATCAAATGAGTTACATAAGCGCAGTGACAGGTGGATCCGTAATAATCTTTTCCCACGCACCGATTGTGGGGATGGTGGTAACAATCTCCCCCAGCTTCAGCTTGTAAAGGATGGTGGTTTTTCCAGCAGCGTCCAGCCCCACCATGAGAATCCGCATCTCCTTCTTGCCTATCAGGCTCTTCAACAGGTTGCCAAAGAGATTCCCCATGATGACTGACGGCTCTCACCTCAACTGCAACAGAACTGTAAACACAGGTAACGGAAGAGACCTCTTTCCATATATAGCGATAAAACAAACCTGTGGACCACATATAGAAAGTAAAAGATGCGGTTAGACACAGTAGCTCTTCAAAAGCAACTCTCAACATTAACACCTCGTAAAAGTAAAAGCAAACTTCACACCTCGTCAGGCAGCTGATCAAACTTCAAAAAGCTGTTGCATTACATTTTTACAGCTAGCAAGGAAAAGCAACCGCCATGTTGGATCTCTGTTATGTGGATCAGCTTTCATGTGGTGCAGAGTAACCACCTTTAATGCTGTCAATTGAATGAATGCCAGTGTAATAATCAATTCATATTATATTAAATAAAACATAATCTCAGGTTGAGAGAACATGTAATGCAAACAGTTTACAGCTTTGTGAGTGTTTGAGTGTGAGTGCATGAGTCATTGTGAGCGTCTTATGTGTCTGACTAACTCCTGATTAGGTAACAGATGGGAGATTATGGGATGCAATGTTGTCAACTTGGTATTATGCACTCTGTTACAATGTTTACTTTGTTTTATTACTAATGGATACAAATTATGTGTATTACATTGATGTAACCATTTCTATTATGCTGCATTGAGAATACCAGTTTATTTTAGGGAATTCTCCTTCACATTCCCTTGAAAGTTATATATATTGTATTGTTTTACAACATTAAGGATGTATGTCAATAAAGAAACACACAACACAGAAGCTTGAATTAGCCCATGCTGTCTTGGTATGGCTCCTTTAACTGGCCACCTGTCAACTTGGGCTAATATTTTCCACCTGAGTGGCAATTTGTATGTACTTAAGTGATATACCAAGAGTACAGAAATGCACACAAAGCCGAATGTGATGCTGCAAGAGGATCATTATTTCCCTGTATAAAGACGTTATTTTTATGATAATAATCTAGTTTAGTATCCATTCATTTATATCAATTGTATAGGCTTTACTGTAGCTGCTCGCACAGCCTGTTACAGCTGCAGTGGCCGCACAACCTGTACATCTTTCATGATAACGCAAGAGGCTGATGCTGCAGTCCAAGCAGGCGATGAATTTGAATGAGATACATTTCCTACATAAAGCGTAAAACGATAAGTATTCGAGCTAAGGTTAGATAGCGACAATATTACGTGTTCAGTTCTGAAAAAATAAATGTCTCTGGGTCAATTTGTTTGATGTAATCCTCCTCGTACAGTCACGACAAGGCAGCACATCAGCCTAACGTCGGCCTAATGTCGTCGATTAGCGGCGGTTATTTTACCGTAAAGTGTTACAAGGCGTTTAAACAGCAAAAACAACGCTGCGGTCATCTTTATTACTTAGTATACATCTTGGAGCATTTTCAACATTTGCATCTCATTCACACTTACCCGTCCACGGCAGGCAGGCTACCAGCTGGATTCATGCAGAGGAGAGGACTCGAAGAAAGTCTCGCGATGATAAGAGGATGTGAAGTGTTGTATTCTCGCGATAGTTAAATGTCAAGATCACCTCTCACGTTTGCCATGGCTTGTTAAAAGCCAGGAGGAATTGCTGGAGGGCAACAGTAATTTAAATGTCTCTTTATAAAACATGAATATTTTTGTGTAACATCAGCATCGACCTGCTTTAAGATTTTACCAGCTTCAGGTTTAATAGTGTCCAGCTTTAATTTGAACAAAATATTCTTTATGATAGATACACATTGCATGTATTAAATGTTATTTGTGTGATGTTACAGCAGGCCAACAACAAAACCAATATGAAATGTTACACAGAGTCTGCAGCCAAACATGCTTAAATAATTAAAACAGGAATAATCTTAATGGATAAGTAAATGGCTTACTGTATAGGATGCCAAGTGATGCTTCCTGGCCTGTTTCTGTCAGTGAGGTGACAGGAAGCAACAAAACACTGAATCAATATCGCAGATTACTTACAATGAGTACTAATTGTGTCATAGTATCAAATATCAGAAGGTGATACTGAACATGTATTGTGGTGAAATAAATGTACAAATAACAACTGTGAATATACTCCACTACAACTAAAAAGTGCAGCATTCAAAGCTTTACAAAAGTATTTAAACATTACCATACTTAAAGTATTAAAAGTCAAAGTACATTTTATGCAGTAAAATACTCCCTGTCTGTGTTTGACTATTATATACAATGCTTTTGGATTAATTCCCATTTTAATATTTAAGGTTGTGCGAATTTCAAAAATAAATAAATAACGTAATTACAGATGTCAGCTTTGTAACAATGCTTTTTCAATTTGATCCAATAAAGTTTTTAAATACTTTATTTAGCTTAATATAGGCTATAGGATAATATTCTTACCCTAAATGTGCTTGGTTACATTCATAATTGCATTGATGTGGTTTTACAGGTGGCAGTGCGTGTCAAAGTCAGGAAGAAACCTCCCCCCAGTAGGTGTGGGTTTAACTCATTACCTTGAAAAAAAAACCTATAGTGTGATTAAATGACACGCCGGATCCCAGCCCTAAAACCATAGGTGACTCCAACATTTATCCCCCTCTTCCTCTCTGTTGTGTGTCAGTCAGCGGTCCAGTGATAGATGTGTTTATCAACTCAGTGGTGAAGGCAGACGAATGAAGAGGGGAGCAGATGTTTGCAGCTGCAGACCAGATTATGGGGTGGAGTGGATGGTGGGGGAGCCTGCCGAGTTTGTGCGCGGGGAGTTTTGAGAGGGTTACAGGGGGTTACAGTGTGGCAGAAAGAGGTGGGGTGGGGAGCTATGACTTAAAGGAGCCTTTCCTCTGAAGTGTCTGCCAGCGTGCACCCCAGCAAACACAATCACAAGTCTCGTTGGTTCTGCTAGCTGAACTAATGAGGGCCTGCGCGTTGAGGGCAGGGGCTTTGATGTTCTGGGTAGCTGGCTCCTTGTGTTTTCTCTCCCGCTCTCCTTCTCTGCCTGTCCCACATCAAAAAATGAAAGGGGAGTTGAGAAGCAGATGTTTTGAGGCATGTATTTATACAGAGTACACTTTATTCACCCCCTTCACCATACCCCATTTGTCCTTTGCTTCTGCATCTCCGCCGTACGTACAGCGAGGATCTATCTCCCCATCTTTATATCCAACTAAACACACTAAATCGCCTTACTTTATACATATAATCATCCTGTCAATCAAAGTGGGTCACTTTTATCTCTCCTAACTTCCTCTCTCGGCCTTCCTCTCTTTAATTTCAACCCAGTCTGGTTGTCATTACTCGGGGGGGGGCAGTCAATGTGTTGCTATGCATGCGTCTATGTCTGCAGCGATGAGGGGGAGAATGGGAACGAGAGGAAAAACAACGCACAGAGGGAGCGAGAAACCAATCCCAGGCTGTCCACCAACCTCTGTCTCACACATGCGAGAAACAGTGACAGGAAATTCCCTTTTGCAGCAGCTCCAGGGTGAAATGATAAAGGAATGAAGAAATTCAAACCAGAAATCTTTTGCCTTATCATTCCATACGAGTTGCTGTCTCTTATTTATTCCCTCACTAAATACCAAACAGACACAACAGTTGATTCAGCCACTGGCAGCACCATTCCTTAGGAGCTGAGGGAGGTTTACAGGAATCCATACAAACAACACTTGAATGGCATTAAATCTTATTGTGTCAGATAAAATATTGAGTTTGGATCATCCAAGATATCTAGGAATGCTGCCATCGTTAATTAAGTCAGGTGTTGACATGGGAATTTTGCTAAATCTGCAGCATCTCGGGTCACCAGGAGTTCTGTCTGACAGTTCATAAATGTGAGACAGCATGCATGGTTTTGATTGTGCATCACTGCCAGTATTCCTACATGTAAGTGTCTTTGTGCATAAACAAATGCACGTGTTTATGTGCCTGTGTTTACATTTGTGTAGTCTGTCTCCCAGGTAACCATGACACAGCATCCCACGTGGTTTAGCGAGTCCCTTGGTTGGCCATGAACTCTGGGACAGATGATCCCCTCAGATGCTTGCACAGCAGAGACTGGTATAATCACCCCCACTCTCTGCTGGCTTGATGCTTCTCTCCAGTAATAAAAGTCATACTTTAAGGAAACAATATCCTGCAGCCATAAAAAGTCCTTCTCTCAGCATGAAGTGACCATAAAAAAGCTCTCACCTCCCAAATCTGTAGTGCGTAGAACTTACCCCCCCCCCCCATTTACACAGCAACACACACACACACACACACACACACACACACACAAACACACACACACACACACACACACACTTCCTTCAGCATCAGTTCAAGACTAAAGCCATCTCTCACTTTGACATGTACTACATGTGGGAAGAATTTAAGGAGTACTCGGACAAAATTGACAAAAGAAAGCACAGAATAAGAAGCGCTCTGTCATCAATTCATAAGAAAAATGACACATTGTATCACAGCTATATTCATACAAAAATATGACTACCTGCGACCATTTTCTAACGTTCGAACGGTTTGCATAACCAACATTGTGTTAGTGGTTCAGCCTTAGGAATTTCAGGACTTTGCCACTTTTAGTTTTACCAGTATACAAGTGTTCTCTCTGTCCTGAGATCTATCAGATGTATCAGTCAGTTAAAAACCACAAAAAAACAATTTCCTTCTTCCATTAGTTAAAGCCTTGTCTAAATGTTCTGACTTATTCAAAATAAGTATTGTGGCCCTTTTCTAGCCACAGGTGCAAGACATTCAAATGGAGTTAATATCTTGGAAATCTGCTTACTCCGCAAACCCGACTCCGGATACCGGTTGAAAACAGATGGATGTATCTTGATGATCATCAGAAGAGACCAGTTCAATGTGATATCAATTGATCTGTTTTACAGCACTAAACCACTCTTACGCATAAGTCTGTCAGTAACTATAACCAAAAAGAAAGGCACAACACAATCTTAATATTAATAATAATACATTTACAAATATACATGTACAGATTGAAATACACACCTATTATACAATGTGATGAGTCATCATGTAGACATATAGAAATGTCTACAACAGGAATGTTTCTTTGCTGTTCACTGTTGCTTTGTTTGGTGGGATAGAAAAGATTGGGTATTTGCTGTTTTCATGGCTGAGAGGGCAGCGTCTAAACAACCATAGCAGGACAAATGTCGTGAGTCACCTCTTCAATCTCTGACTTGGCATTTTGAGAATAACAGCGGCTACAAAGAGAAAATAGATCCCAGATGATGGACACAAAAAAAGGAAAGGGGGGATAAACAGACTTCTGGGAGAGTTACACAAGGAGGAAAACAAAGGCTCGAACAAAAGGAGTGGGAGAGGGGACAGGCTCACCATCTTGAGTCTGGGATAGGTAAAGGCATCTGGGACAAGATCTACTTGCACACACTGACCCACTCTGTGAGACGACACTCCTCACACAGCACGTAGCAACACCAGTGGAACCTGCAGTTGCAGCGCTCACTGCGTGTCTGTCTCAGGATGTTGTGTCCGCGGCCGCAGCACAGCGAGCCGCAGCTGTCTGTGCTGTAGCTGGTTTTGTTGCAAATGCGTCCTTGTGTACCTGGAGAGTCTACAGAGGCATCGCGCTCACAGAAGTCAGGAGACTTCTCAAAGTACACCAGCTCTCTGGACATGGTCCGTCGGCGACCTCTGTTGGGTCCGCCTGTGCTTCCGCCGGCGCTGTTTCCTGTTCGAGGGTTGAAAACCCCATTGTTCTTGTTCTGGGAGTTGACAAAGATGGCTGACAAGAACTTTTCCCTGAGTAGAGAACCCACAAGCCGGAACTCTGGAGACACATGCCAGCAGGTCTTAAACTGGCAGCTCCCTGATGTCCCGTGACATTTGCACTTCCTCTTCATGTTGTCAGTCACTATCTGTGTAAAGAAAAGACAATTGTGTTACAAATCAGAAATGCAACAATGTCACCTATGATTATATAGGCCAGTGAGAGTGTGGAAGTGAGACTGCTCTCTGAGCAACACTAAGACATTGTGGATAATTCCTCACCTGTCGTCCCACACGGTTGTTGTGTATCCTCATGCGAGCGTGGATGTCTCTTGGAGAGCCGCGGGAGTCCAGCCAGTCCCTGGAAAAACGGTCCCCAAAACGGACGTCATGGCTGCAACCCCCCCACTCCCACGTCTCCTGCATGGAGCTCAGCTCATCTGGTATGGGCTTGAGCAGGGCCGAGGGATGGGTGGAGCGCAGGTTAGCGGGCAGGTCGCCATGGTGACCGTTGAGCTCTGAGGGTAACGATCGTGACATGGCGAGGCCTACTCCACCCTTCTGCAGGGTCTGCAGCTGCAGCTGTGTGAGTTTCAGGCGGATCTTGTCATCGTCCTGGCGACGCTTGGCCTCACAGCCACACCCCCGCAGCTTGCCCATGCTGCAGGCCGAGGCCACAGAGTGAGCCACGCCCGCTGCCAACAGGGCCAGGGAGAAGGCACTCTCGCGAAAACCTGGGAACAGGAGATAAACACTCAGAGGATGAAAAAAATAAACAGACCAGCATCTGTGTGCAGAACAACCTCTACTCCCATATTTACATCTCCACCCCCTGTTAACCCAGGTCACATTATGACCATCAAGCATGCCTCCGGCTCTCACCCCTGTTGAGGATGGTGTTGTGGTGGGGAAGCTTGCCAAGTCCCTCCAGTGAGGAGCAATTCCAGCGCTGATCCCGGAGCTGGTGCTGGCATTCGTGAATGGCCACCTGGATGCCCTGCAGAGCGGAGGCCGTCACATCGGGGCTTCGCACACACATCCTCATCTGACGCTTGCTGAGGCCTGCCAGCCTCAGGCACACTGAGTTAGGGGTTAGCACTGGATCTCCTGCCACCTTCAGGTTGAGAATATCATTACACAGCACCCTGCAGAGAGGAAGAGAAAGAGAAAGGGAGAGAAAAAGAGAGTTAGTGGGGGGGGGCATCAGAGCTGGTCAGGAGTTCATTAGTCAAATCCGAAGAAGCAAGATGCTTTTGGATACTTAAGAAAATATAAAAATACAAAACAAGTAAGATTTAGGATTGATATACTTTACAATAATGTATCTCATTTCTAAATGATTTGCTGAGGCTACATTTAAAAAAATGTGATAATTAATTGCACAAGAATTTACAACAGTTTCATCAGATGTTGTTTAAAGCGGGGAAATATAATTCTAAACAGAGCAGCTGTGAAGTCCCAAAAGCAGAAATATACTTGCCAAACACATCTTCTGGAGAAATAACAGTATTCTAATCTACAGTAAACTGATTTCTTTATGGCCTTGCTAAGAGTTGTAGACTAAAATATTAGTAAAAATTGATTCTTATGTTTCAACATTACACACAACCTGCCTGTAAAATCATAGGCAGAGCTTTCACTTTTAAACTAAATATGTTAAGTATTCTTTTAAATCTTAAAGTCATACACAGTAACTTCCATCAACTCTCCTCGCGCTCTCAAGTGCACTCACGTTAATGCAGGTGACATAAGTGCTGCTGCCAAAATCAGGAATTGGTCCCAACGGAGTTTGTTTGATAGCTCCATTTTGTTAAGCGTCTTTCGCGACGTGACATTAAAACACTCGTAATAAAGTCCTGTATTGAATGGAAATATCAAAAAAAGAAGAAGAGTGGAGTATTATCGATGCACCGCCAAACGAGCGAGGAGTGAACACGGAGAACAGAGGAGCTCGGGGGCGAGAGTAAACGGGAGGGGGGAGAAAGAGGGGAGGGCAGGAGATGCCTCCACAGGCGGCTGTTTGCTAAATATTGGCCAACATGAGAGTTGGATCAACAGTTGATTATTTTATCATTTGAGAGTGTGAACTTTTGTCCGAGCGTAAAATGACGTCTCCAAACTTTTTACGCACAAGTTCCAATCCGCGCAATTGTCAAAAGTTTTGGTAGATGATCAAAAGTACTGGATCATACAAACATATTTAATAGCTTATATAAATATTATTATATTTATACTTGGTTTTTATTGAGGGGAAGGTAAATTGTGAAACACATTCCTTCATTTTCGATGACAAATAACAAAAAACACTCAGAAAAAAGGAAATATGAAAAGTCAAAAGAGATTTTGTTCATAAAGGGTTGAGTTAAATGATGAATGGGGGGAGGGGGAGCTCTGATGGTTCCACTGTACGGCAGGGAGGCAGCAGCAGGCAGGCGGCTCCGCTAACAGACCCTCCAACAATACTGTTTTTAGTCATGTGGTCCCCCTTCCTCCCTCCTCCATCAGTGCGGCTGTTCCTCATTGTTGTGTTTGAAACAACTTCACTTTGTCACTCTAAAGTCTTTATTTCAGAGAATAACATTATATACATAAATTACGGGAGTGACAGCTCTTTTTTTGGGTCATGATTTATCACATTACGGCGTGACGTGCTCCAACAAAAATCTAAAGGCAAATAACACCTCTTGGTTTTAGAAGGCAGTGTGTAAGTATGGCCTCAATGGTCTTTAAACATTTCATTTATATACAAAATATAATATCGAATCAAATCAATGTTCATGCTCAATAATGACTATGCTCAGGCACTCTGCCAGCATTTAGGATACTGTGGCAGCTCGGCATCGAATCAATCAGCATATTGATATAAATATGGCAACACTAAATCAACATGTCCATCGTTGATATAATTTTCTAACAAATAAAAAAGGATTCTCGACCAGACATTAAACAATAAGAGACACTGCTGTTGGAATCGGGAAGGTGCATGTGGGTTACTCTCATAAAATTAAGTTAAAACCCCCCTCGAACACCGTTCGCATAGTGACACCAATTCATCTAATCTCCTTCCATTCCCTAAGCTGCAGCAATGAAAAGTGCATTAGCATTCTGCCTTGGCGTGTATATATAAGTGGCTTAAAAAGTGATTTGAAGTTGATTTGTATATAAAAGGCCCCCTTTATCCGGATTGAAGCTCTAATCTGCTCGGTGTCGCTTGACTGCTCCAGGAAACTCGTTTGAGCACCTTCATATAAGACTGGAGTTTAAACGTATAGCTGTCATTAAATCCTTTTTTTTTCTTTTACAAAAGCCCACTTCCTTTTACTGTCATCTGAGGGAAAAGAGGGAGAGAGAGAGATGAAGCAAGAGGGATGGGGAGAGATTATCCAAACACCACCGCTGCAGTGACTAACGTTGGAACATGCAAATTAGCAGATAAATGTCACATAATGAAAAATTCCGCCATGAACCAACATGGAGAAGTTTGGGGACATTGAAGCCTGCTCCTAGTCTGGGGTTAGATGGAGATGCCGCAAAGTGTCTCAAGCTGTGATTACACTGGGCTACATGTGCGTCGAGGGAGGTCTGCAGGCCAGATGTTTGGAATGGTTTTTATACTCGTCCCCCTCTTTCCTGGTTCATCATACATCAAACTTCTGAATGGAGACCGTATATCATCCCTATTGCGTTTGAAAAAAACATTTGAGTAGCCCAGCAGGGAGTGTGAGTAATATGACAATTTAGAGCGACAACTGCAAGTTTCGTTGTGCGTGTGCATGGCCATGGGTTTATAAACATTGGCGATAATAGTTGTGTCTATTGGGCCTAATCTTAATAAATGAAGAGCACCTCATGAAAAGGTTTTAATAAATATTGTTCATTGGTACAATTACCTCGTGTGTATTTATAAAGGGATTTGTGTGAAAAGGAAACGAAATGAACAGAAATGTCCTTAGTCACTGCACATTTTTAGAGCGCGTTGGGAGAAAGGAGGAGGAGATGTGGTTAGGGAGTAGGCTAATCCAACCACCGGGTAAAAAGGGCAGTTTTAGATGGCTCATATTCCGCTGTTACTGTATTGCACCGTGACACCAGCTTCGAGCAGCGGCGGAGCACCAAACCGGGCGCACCCACAGCATCTGTACCAACACATCACTGCTGCAGGGCACTTCTCCTTTCTGCAAGACTGGATGTGGAACCAAGCGCACGGCCAGTTGGAAAATACTTGCAGCCGCACACATTTACAGGGAATCGATTATGTGGTGACCGTGAGATTCCACAAGTAATATGCGAAACTCTTGCTGGATTGCCCTATTTCTTCTCTTCCTTTCTGCCCAGTTGTGTTTCCTTATTCATTGTGCGCCCTATGAAGAGCATTAACTATCCCTCCCTCCAATCCTATTGAAAAGGCTCCGAAAAAAACAGAGGGAGATGAGAGCAGCAAATCCCTTTTTTATTCCCTTCGTAGCGCTCAATAAGAGAAGAATGTGTTGCCTATCAGTCACCGAGGGGATCAAGTCTTCGGGACTGTCCCACGCGTTCAATGCGCCGTGCAGAGCATCACTGAGAGAGACAGAGTGAAGAGGACTGCAGCAGCACTAGCATCCTGCCTGGACACTTCACATCATTTAGCAACCTGTCTCCTCTTAACATCAATTTAAGTCAATTAGGGCTGTCTGCTTCTCTCACCTTTCAAGTCCTCTCACCGGACCGTGGCGTGGTGAGTATCCACCTTGCATTACTTTAACTATTGAATAGATCATTAACATGTTAATCTCTTATCACACTTAATGGGTTTTTCGCGATGCAAGGAAACAATGTAGCCTATTGCCAGACGTCTGTCGATTTGTCTCTGTTTAAGACAAAAGGTTTATTATGGGTTATTAGATTGTTTAACTCCAAGATGTGCTAGAGAGTTCAGATGATCCAAGGTATCTGGGACTTGGCTATAACTTTGTCTGAACAAAACCCATTTGACATTTCCCTCCTCATTTGACCTGAAGACACGATGAGGAGTCTGGCGCTGCTGATAGGGGTGAAAGCTGCCTGCATCCTGCTGGTGTCCTCGCTCTCAGGGACAGGGGCCGTCAACAACAGCGGCCGGTGGTGGTGAGTTCAGCAGACATCCACATGAATTCAGTGATCAGCATCCTACAATCGGAAAAGTTCTGTTTAATGCTGGTTTGGGCAAGGAAGACCATGCGCTACAGTATAACGGTGTTTTATTGGCGTTGCCACATCCTGTGCTGCATGCTCTAAATAACGTGTTAGTTTTGGCATCCTTTACGACTTCTGAGAGAGTAACCGCATGATAATAAAGTCTGTGGGCTTTTTTTTTATGTATTGCTCTTTCAGTGTAATTAGATTATCTATTAAACAGTAAACGAATTACATTTGTAATAATTACAGGATTACCTTTTATTTGCGGTAGATTTAATTTGCTCTCTCTTTCTCGCTACTGCCCTGTCATTTGGACAATGTGGTTTGAACAAGAGACAAGATTTTTCAGTCCAATGTGGGAGAAATTATATATGGATTTGTTTCATAGCTTATAGGAATCCCATGAGGTCTTCTCAAGGGTCACGTTGTTCTGATACTGTAAATTCGACTGAAAACAAATACTAAAACGGCCAATTCCACAATATTTTGTTAGAGAACAACACTATAATGGGATCTGTTTAGTTTTGCGTCAGTGGGCACATTGCCTTGCTTTTGTTAAAAAGTGTATAAACTGTGGGTTGGGTTTGTGGAGGTTATGATTTAACGAAATAGTTTGTATTTTTTGCGGTCTCATTAGATGGACATTATTTGCGCACAACGGCGGGCGTTTCCAAATATTTAAAATGTCAGCTGATATAAAAAAAATTGGGAGGAAAAAGACACCGCGGAGTTGTTGGAAGGAAACAAAACATTAAAAAAGTCGACATTATTATTAATGCTCCCAGGCCTCACCACACAACTGTCTGGATTGGCCCTGTAACAGGCCAAGACTCCCCGATTTTCCGGATGATAATGCTTAACAGGAGACGCATACACTACATGTGAATCAAAAACACATAAATCTAAAAGAGTTCGCCAGGAACTAAAGTGGAAAATTATGCAGCCTGTGTACTGAAATACTAAACGTATAGTTGTTCTGAAACATGGC